CTGGTAACCTCCCAGCAAGATGAATTCTTGTGATATTTGTGAGTTCACAAACCCAGGAGAATCCATCTGGCCCAGCTCCTGATTTTGAGATTGCCCAGTCAACCAATAGTGCAGCCAATCACAGGGCAGCATTGAGGTTTGGACAGAAGCCAAAGGTGAGGTGCTCAAAGCAACAAAAACAAACACGATGACATCGAAAGATGTATTTCAGCCTATTTTAAAATGTGAAGAGGCATGATGTCTATAGTTTTCTCTCAACTGGATTTAATAAAAGTTTGATGTCACCGAATAAGTTTCAGTTTCCTGATTTTCCCAGTTGCTTTCAGCAAAACCCATTCCACATTGATTTGCAGAACAGAGTGCTGCTTCACATATCAATCTGGTGATAGTCAGGTTGGACACTGGAGGAACTGGAGAAAAACACTCAGCATGGAGAGGATATGAAAGCTCCAAGCATAAAGGCTTTATCTATCCCAGAGATCGAACCTGTCCTTCCACTGAGGTGAGATGGCTAACCACTAAGCCACAGTGCCAACAGAAAATCACAATTGTTTTTGTTCAAAGCCTTTAAACTGGGTTATCAACCCAAATCCAGTGCCTAATCCAGGACTAACCCCACCCAGCCTCCCTCCCATCTCTAAACCAGGGCGAAACCTTCTCCTGAGTCCTATCAGTCGTAGTCATTGTGACTTAAGCGGTTAAATAAGAACCTCAATGTGAAAACCATCTCCCAAAGTCAGAGAAATGGGATGTGGAAAGCATGGATAATAAATTGCAATGCTAACTGGGGGCCGTGGTGGAGATGGCTCTGTGAGAGGACGAAACAGCCATAAACGAAAAGATGTACAACAATAACTAACGGAAGTTAAGAGCGCTGACAGCTGAAGGCTTTCCTCTTGTTTAAGACAGGCTGAGTTTGCACTGCATCCAAAATCAAAATGTCAGACACACTGATTCAACAAATATAAGAAAAATGTCTTTGCAAATGTATAAAACTGTGAGTCAGATTAGGTGTGCAGTCTGGGTCACCTTGGAGCCTCTTTGCTGCTGTCAGAGGGCATTTTCTGTGCTGAATCATATAGTGCCAACATTTGAGCAGCACATTTAAACATGATTGAAAGAGAACCGCAATCTGCTCCCAAAACACAGGTCAGACCCTACCCCCATTTGCCCCCACCGACCATCCATCCATCTCCACCCCGCGCTCTCACCCCTGGCCCTGTAGGGCAATCTCGGCCTCCCATCTGTTGTCTGCAGCCGGGAGCAGCCCACTTCCCCTGCCATTCGCATTTACAATTCAATTAAAAGCAGCAAGCCCCTTCTCCCTCCGCCTCCTCATCTCGGCTTCTTTATTCGGATGAGCACAGCAGAAAGGCCCCTGCCCCATGTTGAGATGCTGTCATGACACACATGTTTTGGGCCAGGCGGGAGTAGAACTAGCTCCAGTAATCATGCCATGTACACTCTAAGGGTTTGTGTTTGAGACAGAGGCAGACTATGCCTAAGTGAAAAGAAAGCCACACTGCTGGGTTGAACAGAGAACAATAAGAAGTAGAGAAGTGGGGTAGACTTTGCATTAGAATAACATATAGCCTCCTGCACTTATGTAACAAGCTAACTGCAACGGAAAATGAACAAGGCCCAGTTAAACAGTACTATATTATTGATTGATTGATTGATTGATTGATTTTTCACTTTCAGACAAACAATTAAGTCAATTTATTTTACAATATTTTGTTTTATTGTTGAACTTATGTGAAGAATCTTCTATATCTACAGCCCTGGCAAATCCAGAATGACATCTCTCTGTATCTGTAATACAGGGGGACACCAGGTCACTGTCCCTCTGTCTTGTCTCAAGCCCAAACTAAACACATTTGGTTGAAATACATCGATTCTCCTTGATACTGCAGAAATGTTTTTCTGCCTCGTGATTTTCTCTCCAAAATTCTTGCAACATTTAGAACAAAATATACAACTAAAATAAGTTATAGTTTTCCGCTGCGATTGTTGATTTTGCAAAAACCTGCGCTGTTTGTTAGTACCTTCTTTGTTACGTAAACTGCTATGTTTGTTTTTGTGGCGGACTATGCTTTTCTCTGCCAGATAAGAGATTCACAAAGACCAGACTCACATGTTCATGAAATATTGAAGAAATATGTATTCTGGATTGTGGGCAATCCATTCTCTGAATTCCACAAGAATTCGCTTATACTGTTTAGTCAAATAAACTACAAATACAAGAATTTCATAAATAGCTTTTACTGACTGTTTTATTAGTATTTTTTGCTGCCTGTCTTTCCCATTTGTGATTCATAAGCATTTGTCACCTAAGTCTACCCTGAAATCCAGCCTCATCTCCAGTGAAGTCCACTGGCTTGATTTGCTTTGGGTTAGTGTCCTCATTCATCCAGCAGACTGTGGACTGGAATAATTAGGCCTGTTCTCCTGACACCTGATCAACAAATAGTGATTTATGAGGCCGTCTGCTCCAGAGGCGCAGTATTGATTCAAAGACTGCAGAGAATAGCTGTTTGCATGGACACATTCCCACACACACACAACCCACACCTGTATTTTGGGTGCCACACTTAAACAAATGTACACATCCTGTTTGATGGATATGATGACAGGCAAGGTCCAGTAAAATACATTTTCAGTGCTCTTTTACTTTATAATGCTGATGCTACATTATAAGTCTTGATGTCTGAATAACACATCTGGAAAAGGCTCCAGGAAGGCACTGACCAGAGTCTTGGTTGAGATTGAATGAAGTTGGACTGGAGGATCCACTCTGTGACAGGAGAGAGAGCTGTGAGGGTGTGGGATGCTGAGGCTGTGGAAGATGTGGAGTTACAATGTTATACTGTATAATATTGTATATAAGAATGTCTCAGATACACAGACTATGAGCACAGGATCTCCACAGGGCTCTATACTTTCTCCCCTGTTTTTCCCCTGAACAACAGCTACACATAAAACCACCACTCAAAGCTGACCAAGTCTGCAGAAGACACCTCCATCACAGGGCTCATCAGATAAGTCTGCCTATAGGAGGAAGGTGGATCGGCTGGTAACCTGGTACAATGGTAACAACTCAACGCTCCCAGATCAAGAAGGTCCAGCAGAGGCTGTCTGTCCTGCCGAGGGCATCTGAGGAAAACCAAGCTGCCTTCCCAGAAGATGGTGGAGTTCTACATGGCCATCATTTAGTCCATCATCATAACTGTAATTAACCAGCTTTATTTAAAAAAATGTTTAGTCAAATTTTATATTTTAATTATTCACCACATCAAATGGGCCAAAGTAATTTGTGAATTTTGTTCAGTGACAATGGCTATAAAGCTTTTGTGATTCTACTAATCAGCGGTGGTTTAGATGTTTTCACAGATTTATTTGCATTGCTCATCTTATTCATTAAAAGTACATTTTTCATACATAAAGCACACTCTGCACTCCTCCTTTTGCTGTTGAGCCTGTACTGTGGAGGAGAAACTGTGCTGCTGCTTTTCTCAATGGAGCTTGTGCCACACACTGAGCAGCTCCTGTTTCCTGTCTCCATGGAGACCACCAGTCCCACCAATCACAGCACACGGAACGGTTCAATTTGTTAAAGGGGCAGTTCCTCTTTTTGCAGTGAAATCGAAATTCACCACATTTAACTAATACATATGATTTCAAATAGCTTCTAAATACCAGTGAATCACTGCAATAGGTGGTAGATAGGCATTTATTACAAATAAGTCAAACATACGTTCCCAAAAGAAAAGTCATATTCCACTGTATCAAACAGGCTGTATCAAAATAAACAGTGTTTTAAGTGCAACAAACAGAAACACATATTTATGAGACTATTTAAAAAAAAAAAAAAAAAAAAAGGCATTTTGCAGTTTTTCATTTCATGAAATGAATATGGAATGTTCCCTTTTCTTTCCCTTCTGGACCACACCAGGACCCTCTGGACCCAATCTCACAGTTTGCTGTAACATTCAGTACATTTGATCAGTTCCAGCTGATTTGCTGCAGTAGTTGATGGCCTGTATGGAGTTCATATTGCACATAAATAAATTGGAAAAAGCATGTGCCATTTAACAGAAAATATAGTTTACTTTGATTGGGACCATCAACGTGTTACGAGTATGATACATAAAACTCCTAACATTACTATGATATAGTACAAGTACCATCTTCAAACTAGCTTGAGGTGTATGATCCCCAGTATTTTGTTCTAAAAAGCTGGACTACTGTACAAACCTGGTTTGAATCAAGGCATTTGAAGTGTTAAAGGAGGAGCCCTTTGCATGCACCAAAGAAATGGTAAAGGGACCAAGTGCCTAAACTTTCTGAAAACACGTAAGGACATTCCCCTTGTGCTTTATACAAAAATATGTTAAAATATATTTTTTCTTTTAAAAAATGAGGTCTGGTTTTATCAAAATGTTCATCAGGCTGCTCAAATTGTATCAAAAAAGGAAGTAAACAAATGGTTTGGAAATGAGGTGACCCTGAAGTGTGTGGCTGTTGTCCTCCTGTGCTGGTGTAAAAGATACTGTTACAGGAGCCCAGGGCTGGGTCAGGCCAGTGCATGTGGATGACTACACATGCACTCTGCCTCCTCTCTGTCTAAAGACAAAGCATCACTCCTCAAGGAGGTACTTTCCAATGTACTCTATAATGAGATAGTCTATATTTGACCAATGCAGCAGATAAGATATAAAACTGTTCATTACAGTAGGGCTATAAGTAAAGCTATACGTTGTAAAGTAAATCTTGTCTGGGATAGTGGAGGCTGAGGTCTGCAGCCACTTCAGGAGTCTCTGACAACAGGGTAATCCAAAGTCTGAATCAGTTTTATGAGGTGCCTGAATTAGAACTGATTTAGATCCAATTCTATAATTCAATAATAAACAATGGCTATTATTAATAAATACAACAGTGCCAGTGAAGAGTAGTTCACTCTGTCTGACCACAGTCCACTGTTCCAGGTGTTCACAACCACTTTAGTATGTGAACACCAAGTCAGAAAAGTTTGTCTCTAACCAGTCCCCTGCGATCATTTCACTCAGTTCCGGGGTGCAATAATCGGGGAACTCGAAATGCGAGCCCATGCTGCCCTCGCTGTACGAGTCTAAGTCCTTATCCACCAGAGACAGGGAGAGGTTTCCTGAATTGGGGTTCCCCAGCTCAGAGCCTGAGCCCAAGCATAAGTCAAAGAGCAGCTCATCCCTATCCCCCGCAGAGGAGGATGAGGAAGAAGAGGAGAAAGAGGAAGAAGAGGAGGTAGACGCAGACCTGGAGGGCGCGTGCTGCTGCTTGGTGATATTCTTGATGTTATAAAACAGTCTGCTGCCGCTGCTCCGTACCTCTTCGTACATGCTTGTGCCCTCGGACTCCGCTGACGAGCTTAAAGTTGGGCTCGCGGGTACTTTGGCAACATGGTAAGGTTTAGTGCGCTCTTCTTCGCGCGCGTAATACTCATCCTCGGAGTCTTCATCCTCTTCGTCTGAGGGTTCACTTTTCACTTGAACTTTGTAAGTGGGGAACACACAGTCATCGTATCCGTGCGAATGCTTACTTGGGCCCTTACTACTTTTAAGTTTTGCGCACTTCTTGATATTGACCTTAGACAGTTTGCCGCACTTCTCTGGAGAGGGAGCCAAACTCTTGGAGTTTTCCTGTTTCGGCTTCTTCTTGGGTCTGTATTTATAGTCTGGATAATCTGCCATGTGTTTTAACCGTAGCCTCTCCGCCTCACGGATAAACGGGATTTTTTCGGTGTCCTTAAGCATCTTCCATCGCTTTCCCAGCCGCTTGGAAATCTCCGCGTTGTGCATATCAGGTGACTGCTCCATTATCTTTCTCCGTTCAATCTTAGACCAGACCATAAAGGCGTTCATGGGTCTTTTGATGTGTCCGTTGGCCGTCTTGCACCAGTTGGGATTGATTGCCACAGGGCTGCATGCCATGAACTCACTCTCCTCCGAGTCGGTGGCCTCTCTGGACATGCTCCCGTCTGTCTCGCCGTGGTCCATGTGCTGCACCATTCTGTCTGCGCACGGAACTCTCAGCCGGCACTCGTCTGCACTCTCTCCCGTGGACGCAGACGTCTCGTGTGGCTGTGCTCTCTATTCGGAGTTCCAAACTGCCTTCTTAACTAGTGCACGGCTTTTGTATGTTCTCTGCGTCACGTCAAGCGCACCAACCACGACTCTTCCACTCCGCCCCAAGGACTAGATCCAAGACTCCCCTGAACCTCCGTGAGCCCCCCCATCCCGCACCCCGCCCTCCTTCTCCCTATAGCCCCCACTGGAGAAGAGGGGGCTGTGGTACATAATGTCTGAAACGAGACGAGAATATTAAACGCTGTTCGTAGCCTACAACGTATTTCTCAAACCAGCATTACAACTACAGTCCTACTTCCCTTTGCGTAGCCTCTGCCCAACATAGGGCAGGATATTATATAAAGGATAATAGACCTACATTTTGAGTTATATTGTGGAAATAATCTCAAATTAAGCCGAAGCATTGTGCTGAGGATAGCTTTGATTGGACAAAACAAAACAATTTCAAACAAATCATAATAATAAATCATAATTTATCCCAATGTAGGCCTAGTGTTGGCCCCTGTCCTCGATTTGAGAAATATAGGTCAGTGGTACAGGAAATTCCACATTAGTCATTACTGCGAGTTATAGGTTAAAAGCATCAGGAATACTAATAAAACACTAAACATACAGGACTGCAATGGTGGGGAGCTCCTCTTCGCCATTTTCAGATAATTTTAATTAATTTACTCCAATTAAACTATTGTCAATAAAAATAAATCATTGAAGGCTACAATTTGAATAACATTATATGTCATGATGATTACACAAGCAAATGTGCGGGACATGCAGAGCTAGATGAAGGCCGTGCATTGATTTTACCCATGCGAGCTGCAAAGCTGTCTGTGTGGCTAGACACCCTGCATGCGCTCACGCCCCTCCCCCCGACAGCGGTTACACGAGCCGGAGGGCTGGAGGCGCTTTACTGTTTTTATCCTTTAGAGGGCACCCTTATCCTCACCTACACTCCATTTAGTGGGTGGGTTTTCGTCTGTGCAGCGCTGATTTAAAACTGTGGGGCATGTGAAACTGACTTTGTTTACCCTTATTTTCTGAATCAGTGGATTTAGAAGGTGTGTGCAACAGGTAAAGTGCGCGTACTACACACATATCATTTTGTACCTTTGATCTAGAATAAGGGGTGATATAATGTGATGATGTCATACTGTCAGTATTGATTTTTACGAAAAGTCCAAAAAGACAGATGCATAAATTTGATCACTTGATCATTTCTATGTGACTGAAACCCAGAAATGGCAAATACACACATCTTTTTTATTTTATTAATAATTCGTGGTCTAATACACATTTTTATGTTCTCCTTAATTTGGTACCTTTTGTCCATGGACACACTCGCTCAGAGAAAAGCTCTGACTGATCTGTTTTATTTAAATTAATAAAACAATGTTTCATATTTGCAGAGAGAAAGGCGTGTGTCCTCATATGACTTTGCTTCTGTGTTTCAGATGGACAACACATGCCAGGGTTAGACATGCCATCTGGAGCATGACTTGGTCAGTGAGTTACATGGATGTACTTCTACAGCCCAGTCAAACCATGGAGAAGAAAGGTACACAGGGTTTGATCTTTGATAAAGTGTACCATGTGCTGATCCTGCTCTGATCCTACAGTCTTATGATGACCGTCACACTGGTGAGAGAGTTGGACACTAATCTGACCATGCTCAGCTAAGGATTGATTGAGACATTGCAGATCTACTTTATAGATAAGACAGTACAATTTGCAGCTATAAAACACACACCTACAATTATATGTTTTGAATAATAGACTCAACAATCATAGTTACATTATTATTAATAACATTATTTTTAACAATGTATTATTCATCAGTCTTGAGGGCTAAGAAGCTCTTTCCACCCATGATGGTGCAGGCTAGTTTTTCATGACTAATATCCAAAGTTTGTTAATGGGTTATTCAGGAGGAGGTACTGTTTGTTGGAAACCTGTTCTGAGGGCAGATGTTTCTCCACCAGTTCAACCAACCATGTGTAACACAGAAGTACTCGTGTGTTGGTCAAGTCCACGTCTCTGCTGATAAACCCTGAACTCCCTCTTACTTTCCCTTTTTATTTGTCTTTCCACAAGACACATGTAAATACAGTCACACAGGCCGCTCCTCATGCATACATGTAGAGGTTGTTTGCTCTCTGACCTTCACCTCCTCAGCACAACTCAGATGACCCTCTACCTGTCCAAGTGCACATACACCTCCCAGTCGATCTCCTGTGGTTGGGTTGGCCTCCTGTTGTTGACAGGTGCCATACTGCTTATGTGTGTAGGTCAGCAGTGTGTGCATGTGTGAGTGCCACAGACTGTGTAAGAGTGCACATGTTAAGTGTGTAGCACACAGGGGGCTGTGGGGGGATCCAGAGGTGGAGCGGTGAGAAGATGCACTTCAGATGTAGGATATGCATCCACGTGAAATCTACTCTTTGTACAAGAATGTTTTTTATAAAAACTTCTTAAATATGTGATTCTCCTAAACACTGGGGAAATACAGATGTACAGCATGTGTACTGTCAACTCCAGATATATTAAAAACCAAGGATTGCAGTAATGACCTATACCACTCAGTGTAGTGACAAGGCCTCACATGTGAGTGGGGCTGGTTAGGTCTCCTGAATAGCTTGACTGTGTTTTGTTGAGCAGCTCGAGCTGTGAAGAGTGGGCCACACATACCTTCCTCTGTTTTTAGGACTATCCTTAGCCTAGTCATAAATGCCCTGTAAGCCCCCTTACAGAGCATGCACCAAAGCCCCCAGTAGCATTTCTATGCCTGAATAGGAAGGCATCAGCCACAGTGACCCCAGCGACCCCTTGCAGCTCAGTACTCATTGTCCCTAAGCCCTTGCACCCTCCGAGCAAGAGAATCCACTTTACCCACCACTGGTCATCCAGCTCATTGGTTGCAGGTCAAAGGCCAACTGGGTTGTGAAAGCATGTGAGTGTTTACAGCTGCCTCATACAAGACAAAAACAGTACTGTGTCCCAGACCCAGCTCAGTACAACCACCCCATGGCAGTAAGAATCTTCAGACTAACCTGGCTGCATCTGGTCTGTGCTTATCTGTAAACTCACTCATTAACACTTCTCTCTCTGGTGCATCTTCCTCCGCCTTCTCACTGACCACTGATGATATCCACAAACTTTAGTTCAGATCTAATGACAGTACATTTCACATTGACTGTAAACCTTATGACACATTTCCTCATTGTACATTGTACTTTGTGAGTGCAATGTTATGCCATTTGAAAAATATCAAAACATAGTGTCTGTGTCCAGATTAAAAACAATCATTAGTCCCTTATCCTCCCAGCCATGCTCCCAATCAACAGTCATAACTGAACATCACATTCAGATCGCAAGAGCCACTCCCAGGACAAATGGCAGGAACAATATTCCAAACCATGTCATTTATATATTCAGCTTAAAGAGGTCATTATTTTCTCCAATTGGGCTGCTACTATTGTATTCACTGTTTATGAGCTAAGTAATGTAAAACAGTCTATGAGATACAGTATGTAAAAAATATTATTTTAAAACATAAGTTTAAGATTAGGTGCACATACATCTTTGAGTCAGGGCAGATGTTTTGAGTCAGCGTTTAGTGTTCTCAATCTGTGGTACTTGTAACGCTGGTGGTACATAAGCATACTCCCTCTCTCCGGTGCATAATCTTTTGCTTTAGCCCTGGATTACAAATGTGGTTTGCCCTTGCTTTATACCTGGGGCAGATAGTGGACTGTACTGGTGTGAACAGTTTGACTGGTTATGTGCGTCCTTGTTTTATGTAGGCCCTAAACCTATATTGAAAGTGGAAGCATGTGCACATGTTCAGGTGTATAAGCCTGTAATACTCTGTTGATGATTAATATTATCTTTCAGATGTGCTTTTTTCAGTGAGGACTGATGTGGTGATGACACAACCCTATGACATAAGAAGTATAATTCCTGTTAGAAAGGAAAGAAAGGAGAGAGGAGTTTATTGATTTCCAGAGACGGGAACCTAACAGTTTGTGAATGATGTAATTGACGACTATTGACCAGAGGAACGATAATGGGGCGCTTACAGATGGGCAGAAGGTTTTTCTAGGACAGGAATTCTGGGACAATACCATTAAAGACTCAACATATATGTTTATTTAAACAGCTTAAACCCTGTATGAGTGATGGTGGAGGTATTTATGGACCTGAAACTGTGTGCAGCTGAGCTTTGATGAATCCATTTCACAAAAAACTGTGAAAAACATGATGGAATGGATTAATTACAGAGGTGTTCTGAAGAATGTCCATTAAAGAATAAAAACATATTTTACAAAACAGCCGAGGACAAGACAGAACTAAAAACACACAGCTCACCATCTAAAAGACATTTCTTCTTTTGTTACTCTTTAAAATGTACTTTTAATTCTGTTGTTCTGAATATAAACAGCTGACTGTTCCAATACAGTTCCACCAAAGTTGTGCTTTACTTGTTACATCTGACTGTAACTGAAGCAGTGGTGCCCATAAAACACAAAAATCCCTCATGTGGGTGGGTAGTAGACTGAGAAGGAAGTCTTGGTATCTTCTGATGAGATGACTTTACCAATCTGCCAAAGCATGATTGATGCTCCACTTTAAGGGGGAATTTAACAGCACCTCTTCAGTGCTCTATGCCTACCCAATTATGCTACTGAGCTAGTAACCTTGAATTTATGTCACCATGGCAACAAAATCCTGGTCATGCATTATGGATACCATTGAAATTTGACACTGCGAGCTAACACAAAAAGAGTCTGGGACTTAATCAAATCAGCCCATTCTGCATGACACAAAGTGAAGAAGGAGCTCCCATTGTGCAGAGGCTGAGGCTGGAGAGGCAGGCAGGCCCCGGGAGGGTGGCCTATGCAGCAGCTGCAGGCCCCCGCCTCATAGTCGGCCCCATACACATCAGTGGACATGCTGACAGATGGCCCTTATTGCAAAGACTTCCAACCCAGGAAGCAGCTGGGCTGTCCGCTCACCTTGTTGTCATGGAACATTGAGCAGAGAAGGAGAATGGTGACGCAGAGCTGAAGTGGGTGGTGTGTGGGTCACCTTAGCCATGTCAAAAAAGCAGAGAAACACTTCATATGTATCTGTGGTTTGCACACTAAATTAATAAAATTAGCTAAAAATGAAGCAGCCCTGCGGTAGTGTCTTTCACAGGAGCAAAATGTACACAGTTAATTTGTCTATACACTTATAATGCATAGCAAGGTGTCTTTGCCAAAACACAACTGTTTGAAGGAGAAAAGGTGATTGTATTAATTTAGTGACTCACACTGAACCTTTGTCATTGTTATACAGCATGTGAGCTGAGTGCCCTCCATAACCTTCTCCTGACAGATATCATGCCAGGAGTTAGAAAGGTCATGACAGTGCTTCTCTGCTGTGGTGTTTGCATAAACTTCATGCAAATCAGCTTTAGAAACAAGGATGATAACTGCCTTTATTTCAACAGAAGCTTACTGCTGTGGAGTCAGACAGACCCATGTCTCTTTTGAATTATACTACACATGTTTGTGGTGTAGTTTAGTGGGCAGTGTGCTGTAGTTTAGTAGACCGTGTGTGGTGTAGTTTACCGGACAGTGTGTGGTGTAGTTTAGTAGACAGTGTGCGGTGTAATTTAGTAGACAGTGTGCGGTGTAGTTTAGTGGACAATGTGTGGTGTAGTTTAGTGGACAATGTGGGGTGTAGTTTAGTGGACAGTGTGGTTTAGTTTAGTGGACAGTGTGGTGTAGTTTAGTGGACAGTGTAATTTAGTGGACAGTGTGGGGTGTAGTTTAGTGGACAGTGTGGTGTAGTTTAGTGGACACTGTGTGGTGTAGTTTAGTGGACAGTGGGGTGTAGTTTACTGGACAGTGTGTGGTGTAGTTTTGTGGGCAGTATGGTGTAGTTTAGTGGACAACGTGTGGTGTAGTTTAGTGGACAGTATGTGGTGTAGTTTAGTGGACAGTGTGGGGTGTAGTTTACTGGACAGTGTGTGGTGTAGTTTAGTAGACAGTGTGTGGTGTAGTTTAGTGGACTGTGTAGTTTAGTGGACAATGTGTGGTGTAGTTTAGTGGACTGTGTAGTTTAGTGGACAATGTGGGGTGTAGTTTAGTGGACAGTGTGGTGTAGTTTAGTGGGCAGTGTGGTGTAGTTTAGTGGGCAGTGTGGTGTAGTTTAGTGGACAGTGTAATTTAGTGGACAGTGTGGTGTAGTTTAGTGGACAGTGTGCAGTGTAGTTTAGTGGACAGTGTGGTGTAGTTTAGTGGACAGTGTGGTTTAGTTTAGTGGGCAGTGTGGTGTAGTTTAGTGGACAGTGTGTGGTGTAGTTTAGTGGACAGTGTAATTTAGTGGACAGTGTGGTGTAGTTTAGTGGACAGTGTGCAGTGTAGTTTAGTGGACAGTGTGGGGTGTAGTTTAGTGGACAATGTGTGGTGTAGTTTAGTGGACAATGTGGGGTGTAGTTTAGTGGACAGTGTGGTTTAGTTTAGTGGGCAGTGTGGTGTAGTTTAGTGGACAGTGTGTGGTGTAGTTTAGTGGACAGTGTAATTTAGTGGACAGTGTGCAGTGTAGTTTAGTGGACAGTGTGGTGTAGTTTAGTAGACAGTGTGTGGTGTAGTTTAGTGGACAGTGTAATTTAGTGGACAGTGTGGTGTAGTTTAGTGGACAGTGTGTGTGGTGTAGTTTAGTGGACAGTGTGTGTGGTGTAGTTTAGTGGACAGTGTGTGTGGTGTAGTTTAGTGGACAGTGTGTGGTGTAGTTTAGTGGACAGTGTGGTGTAGTTTAATGGACAGTGTGTGGTGTAGTTTAGTGGAGAGTGTGGTGTAGTTTAGTGGACAGTGTGTGTGGTGTAGTTTAGTGGACAGTGTGTGTGGTGTAATTTAGTGGACAGTGTGTGGTGTAGTTTAGTGGACAGTGTGTGTGGTGTAGTTTAGTGGACAGTGTGTGTGGTGTAGTTTAGTGGACAGTGTGTGGTGTAGTTTAGTGGACAGTGTGGTGTAGTTTAATGGACAGTGTGTGGTGTAGTTTAGTGGTAGTGTGGTGTAGTTAGTGGACAGTGTGTGTGGTGTAGTTTAGTGGACAGTGTGTGTGGTTGTAGTTTTAGTGGACAGTGTGTGTGTGTAGTTTAGTGGACAGTGTGTGTGGTGTAGTTTAGTGGACAGTGTGTGGTGTAGTTTAGTGGACAGTGTGGTGTAGTTTAGTGGACAGTGTGTGTGGTGTAGTTTAGTGGACAGTGTGTCTGTGGTGTAGTTTAGTGGACAGTGTCTGTGGTGTAGTTTAGTGGACAGTGGAGTGTAGTTTAGTGAACAGTGTGGTGTAGTTTACTGGACAGTATGTGGTGTAGTTTAGTAGACGGTGTGTGGTGTAATAGATGTGAACACTAAGAGTGGTCTTATTTTAAACATAATTTACGTTCTGTTTATATAATGGCTCTGAGTACATTTGGCAGCAGTTGCAGTCGTATAAACAATGTGGAATAAAACAGTTCAATGCGGCCAGCAGCCATTGAGTGCAGCACCTGCTAACAGCACATAATTAGGAGTATGTTTTGAAAAGTGGTTGAGATATGGGGGGCATGGATTGAATGCTCCTGTCCTACACTGTATGGAAATAGGAGTTTGAGCCAGCCTTCAATTTTGAGGTAATGACAGGACAATGACGTGCGTTGGCCCGGGGGAGGGAGTGGCTGTCCCAGAGGACACTGCACAGTAAGACTCTACAAGACAAATAGATGGTCAATATTTGCACAGTAAGTAGAGAGAGCGAGCGATGAGGGGGGTGAAAGGGGTGCATAATACTTGGGTAGGGGGCCTCTGCACTGCTCTGCGAGGAACAGATGGGGCCTGATGAATTCTGAAAGGGAGGCAGTACCTGCCCTCGTCACCAAGCCGTACAATTATCACACGGCTCTGGGTTCATTGTCGATTAGAGTGGCAGTTAAAGGCAGGCAGCAGCTGAGGCAGATGGCCTGGATCTGAGGGGGGTGGGGGTAGACCCCTCCCTTTGCTTCTGCATGGGCCTGACACTTCCACAAACAGCATCTTGCAGCTTTTGATTAATTATGGTAATTCGTTTCTTCTAATTCCTATTTTTGTATTATTATTTGAATGTATGTTATGTTATTTCCGTCATCATGTGAGGTTGTAAGCTTTCTCTGGAACCAGCTGCAGGAGGATGTGAACTGCTGCAGAGCTCATGTCCAGAGCTAGATGGAGAGGGATGGGGCTGGGGTTAAATGTCCTCAAATCGATAAGTCTAATTTTGGATAATGCTCTTGGGGTGTCAAGAGTACTCCCAAAGGGAGTGTGGTGAAAGTGTATGTCAGTTACAAAAGACAGATCATATTTCACATTTGGTTAAAACAATATTCATGGCTAATTTAAAAACATAAAACAGGCACAATGCAAAATTCTCCAGCTATTGCCCACTCCTGTTGACCTGTTGCCCCAGTGCCACTGAAGGTGTGGCAAATGCAGAGGATGAATTTTTTTACAGAGATAAATAAAGTTTACCAAATGTACCTTACTGTTACAGACAACATTTGTGAAATATAAAAGTGCCATGCTTTAAGTACAATTGAGTTAATACTCAGAGATATTCCTGATCTCAGTCCATAAATGTAAGCTGTCTCTTTTCGTGGTGTTCTAGACTCTGGCTTCATTCATCACAGGAGCGGGCCCCAGGGTGCATCAGTAGGGGGCTGCACAGACAGCAGTCACACTCCACTCTTCTAGCCACACAAAAAGCTCCTGTTGTGTTCAGCACAAGCCTTTTGGGCTCGGGCCCTGCCCCCGTCCTCTGCCTCTCTCCACCCAGTAGGGCATCATTCCTTCTACTTTGTTCCGCCAATGGTGAGCCTGGCGTCTGGGCCTTCCTGATAGCACAGGAGATGTAGCAGCCGATCCATCTGGCTGCCGTGGGCATGCCAATAAAGAGAGAGGGGTAGAGGTCCTCATTCAAAACAAAAGATATTAACAAAGCTAACAGAGCTGCTCCAGGAGAGTGGAACTACAGGACCATAGGCCCAGGGACTGGAGCCATGGCCTGTCATCAGGCAGAGTTGGGTTATAGACATGTATTTATTTCTTCTTTTCTTTTCTTTTTTTTTTTGATAACTGCTATTTCTTTGAACAATCTGGCTTCAGTACTTGTAGACAAAAGTAGAGCAATACAAAAAAGACATTAAAGTGTACAGGCAGTCAGGTAAATCAAAGGCAATTTAAAAATGTACTTTAAAAATCTGACAAAGCACTTTGGACTGTGCTTCTGTATGGTCAGCAGAGGGCAGCAGTGAGAATGAACATGGGGAAAGGACAGTGGTTGAGGAGCCTCTCCACTCTCTAGAGGCCTCAGGAGTTTAGGTCCTATTCTGACCTCTTTGCAGATGGACCCAATCTGAAACAGGAGGGACATATACACACCTGCTGCTCTAGAAACACAATCTGGTGGGAGTTTTTGTTGTTGGTGGTGGTTTTTTTTGGCTCTGAGGCTTTATTAGCTGAGTTTTACTAACACATTGAATTGGACAAAGTATAACACGACCAAAATAGCACAAATCTGTGGCAGGACAGTATACAAAACTATGTGCATTTGATCCAATCATTTCTGCAGTTTAGGATCCAGAGGTGCTGTAGAGTGGCCATAGGTCCTGTGCACATCAGAGTACACAGATATGTGGCTATTATCATGTGACTGCATGTATATGAGTGTAGATTTACAGTAACTATACTTACATGTTCAGGGGGAGAGTAGAGCCCTGCACACAGAGGGAGCTGTCATCTTCTCCCATTGTCTTGACCTCACTCTGAGCAGAGAACAGTTTCTGTAGGTGACTGCAGGCTTAGACATTTGTTGTTTACATGTCACATTACATTACATTCTGTCCACATTGTGCATTACTTATTGTAGACTATGCCATTTTTAACTATTCTGTTGTTTTAGTCTTGTGTGTACCTGGTCTGTGGGCATTCCCATGCTGAGCCAGCCATCCTCCTGCACTTCTGCAGCCCCTGCCAGCTCACTCCTCCTTCTCTGTGCCGCGAACACACTGCCCTCTATGAAAAGGCATTTGTCTTGTACACTACTATGTCCTCTCCATAACTCTCTTCATTATCATCCTCATCATAGATTATGATTTGCAGATTGTGAAACTGAGCTCACCAAGCACTGAGGAGGCACCGGACAGCTGCCTCTCTTCTGCCCTCATCTGGCCACCGGTGGTCTTTTCATATTTCTGTGATAGGTGCACACGGGCCAACTCAAAGATAAACAAGATTTTAAATGATTAAAAGCCCACACATAACAAATATGTCTTTAAACTAAGACCAACTGGAAATCAACCAGCACTCACCAGGTTTTGTGATTTACTCTGCCTTCCACTAGGGATGTGTGCAGGACAATCATTACATCATTACAATAGATTCATAAAAACATTCTAAAACATCTTAAATATAAGTGCCAGTTCTTCCTACCCTCCATATGAGCCGAGTTTACTGCTGAGAGGTCTGTAGTGGAGGCGCTGGTCATATGGGAGAGCTTTAAACTTCTCTGTTCCCACAGCAACATAGTGCTGCTGGTTCCTGAGCTGAAATGGGCCAGACAGAGGCCGGCCATCCATTGTGCAAAGTCTGGAAAAATATATACATCATTCCTGATTCCACTGATTCCATTTTGCTGTGGTTTTATTTATTTATTTTTTTTAATCTGTAACACCTTTTGAATACTGGCACAAATGCCTTTTCTCCAAAATACATATAATATAACATGTATGTGTCTAAAATCAGCTAGCGACATCAAAAACACAAAGTTATCTTACCTGTATACTGCCCCAGATCGAAGACGCACTTTCTCTGTCACCATGGCCAAAACATTGTCCCAGCTTTTCAGGGTGTACTTTGGTATACGTATTCTCACTGGAGGAACCAAAACCTCCCCGTTTGTAAAGACACTACGAGACAAATCAGAAATGATGACTAATTATGTCATGTAATATCGCCTAAAGAACATGTTCGAGCTGAAAGCCTCTCCCTACTGTATTGTGCAGGTGCCATCTTTAATTTTGCTCCATTGAGAAGACACCTGGATACGGCTATGGACTACAGGGTGGATCTGGAAGTTACACGAGAGGTGAGAGCAGAGTAATTTGTTAAAGCAGGTTTCACTCTTTTAGGTGTTAATTTATTGCTTACAGCACGTATCAAGTTACTCTTACAGACAGCTTCTCATAATTACACTATGGTACAGGCAAAACTTATTTGAGTAAACTTATTTTTTAAATTAAAAGAGTTCATGCCTGTATTTTTAAAGTTGAGATGTAACATAACTGAGCCTGTCACACATTGCAGACAGCCATTTGTGTTACATTACAACTGTTTGTAGTTATTTATTTATCAGCAGAGAGTGGTCGCTAGTTGTAGGATCTGGTAACCCACAGTGAGGAGTTCATTCAGTCTTCTACATAAGATCATTGGCCTAAGAACCAAAATGCAAAGTGTAAACAGATATGATATAATTAGAATAAAGTAAAAATACAATGGCATTGATTAATATTAGATTGAAATGTGAAACTATGAACTTTTCTGAAGACACAGGTCAATAATGAAAACATTATGAAAAAAATAAAGAACAATCCTATGCACTGACTTTAGTACCACATCATAATAACTGCATTATTTCCAATTAGTAAACTACTTAGTTAAGGGGTTAGAAGTTAGGTTTGTGGTATTAATTAAGTAGTTATTAAACCTGAATCATTCTTATTGGTTCATTATAAATTCAGTCTTTGTTTGTGCTTTATTAAGGCTATTAAAAATTATTCTAAAGTGTAACCCTCACTTTTCCTACTTTTTTACTCTTCATCTTGTTGCCATTTCAGAGCAGTTTGGATCAAACCTGTTCCCCATAACAGCTGCAGTTAAGAAAAACTACAAAACTTAACTTCAGAAAGCTCTTTACCTGCACATTCACTTTAGTTTGTGGTTTCCTGGCTGTTATTTCAGAGTAACTGTAATGCAAAGAAAAAAGTCAGACATTTTAACCAAACACATTCTGCTATGTTTATACTCCCACAGCCCCATACTTACTGCAGATGTTTGAAGCTCTCATTGCCTGCTGCCACGTACCGCCCGCCTGCCTCCACCTGGTCCAGCCTCCGTACCCTGAGTCCCTGCACCGTGAAGAGCCTCCGCACAGCTCCGAACTGTGGCTCCTGTCCTGCACCCGTTCGCACCGATGACAGGTAATCCAGCAGAATATCTAGAGTGGACAGTCGTGGGTGTACCACTATCTTTCTTCCAACAAAGTACCCATCTCCATTCCTGTACACAATGATGGCTTTGGTATTAGGGAGCGGACCTGTCTTCATTCTGTGGCTGCTCTTGTGAAAAATGCTTTCAGAACTTTCTGGCAGCAGCAGCAAGTAACAGGAGAAAGCATCTGATATGGAAACCAATTCTTCACATGACAGCTCGCCTAACATCAAGGAAATCTATCCAGCAACCGTGCACGTGCATGCATTCATCATTGTGTTGTCACTGCTCTTTTACTGTTTTTTAAATATTCCCAGCTATTGTTGCTGCCAAGGTCTAAACCTCATTCTTTAATAAAACAAAATGAAAAGAAAATCCAGTTATTTTTGATCCCAATTTTAATATGACATTGATCATATAAATCTTAATAAATAAACAAAAAAGCCTTACATTATAATGTATTCAGCTATACAATACCAGGTCATCTAAATGCACATTTTCTCTCAACATTAATTATTCATTGCTCAGGGGAGTAGCTCTGCTTTAATAGAACTGTGCCATACATAGTCAAATTCATCTTGTAGATAGACATCTGTTTGGAGGCCTAATCTCCTCACTAAAGCAGCAGGAGCTGGTAAAATATGCTGTAGTGGAGCGCTCACTGAGGACATGGGCCACACCACTTACTCTACCGAGCAGGACTTTCTCCAGTGTTTAAGTGTGTCCAATAATAAAGAGCTCTCCTTCTCACTCCATGATGCTGTTGTGTCAGATGCTGTCTTTTGTGAACTCACAGACAAAGTACATAGTAGGGGTACAGGACACATCAGTCCACTCTCCAGAGGAGAGCAGGTCTGTACAGTCCTCATCATCATAGGCATTGTTGGGTTCTCCTCGCCTCCAGGCGCTGAAGGTGCTCATGGGAGAGGAGTCCACGTAGGTGAAGACCCCCTCACGGTCCACATCGTTCAGGCCGATGTAGACTCTTCCCACCCCCTGCTCTTGGAGGTACACAGCCAGGGCGGAGTTGGACACAGCGTCTTTGGGCATGGCCAGGTGCCCTCCCCTTGCCTGGCAGTAGAGCTGAGCGTCCCAGAAGCGCTTCTCCTCCTTCACCAGCAGATACACCTTACTCTCTGTCTCTTTTATGCCAGCAACAGCTGCAGGGGAGGGCAGGGCTGAAAAATGACCACTTGTATTTCTATATTTTTTGCTTTGACCAGTGAGTAAGCACACAGAGGTAAGGAGCAAACATACCATTTTTAATGAATTTCAGTTCAGAGGATAACTGGGCAACAAGGAGGTCCATCTCTCCAATCATCTTTCTTATTGGAGCACACTCACACGGCAGCCCTGAAGACACAAACATGTGCAGTTATGTACTTTTAAATGTCTCCTGTATAAATATGCACACATGCTGCACTGACCTGGCTCTCCATTTGGACCTCTTGGACCAGGGTCTCCCATTTCTCCTTTGTTGCCTGTTTCAGAAAAGTAATACATGTATATTTTCACATTTTACATTTTATAAAAGATGAAGAAAGTAACTCAGGGAGACTTGGAAGCATTCCTATAGAGCCTACTACTAACTTTTGAGTGAAGATAAATGAGTGTGGAGCACTTATCTGCTCGGCCAATGACCTTTCATTCCACTGGGCCCCACTTTTCCATGGCGTCCCAAAACTCCTTTGTGTCCTTTAATCCCAGGTGGACCTAAACAAGAGCCCACATTATTAGTACATTGATTTGTATTTATCAACCCCCATTCTTCAGTTCTTCAACTGTATGAACACAAAGTGCACAGACAGTTACAGTACCCATCTCTCCTGGAGGGCCCACTCTTCCTGGTCTTCCTGGAGCCCCTTTCAGGCCCTTGTCCCCTGGCTCTCCTGTGAAGCAAAGAAACAACAGGAGGCAATAGAGAAGCAGATTTTACACAATGAACATAATGTCTCACCTTTGAGCCCTGGGACCAGAATCTGAATGGTGCAGGACTCCTCCAGCTGCTGAGCGTAAGACATGTGCACTAATGTCAGAGCAGACAGGACCAAAGCAGGCAGCAGGAGCATGTGAGGAGCCATGCTGCAGTCAGTGTCACAAGAAGAATAGCTCACTTTTAGTCACAGTAAAGAAGAACCAAAAATTAGATATAAAGTAAAAGACAAAGTAAAAGTAAAAGAGTAAAGGAATCTATTGCACTCAGTTGATGTTGTGAGTTCTTACCTGTGGCCAAGCTGTGTCCGGTTGGAGCTATAGTCCGTGTGGAGCGTGGAGAGTGTGTGAGGAGGCTGAGGCTGTGGCAGGACAGTGATAGCGTTTGGAGTAAACAGTCAGATAAGGCCTCTCGCTGAACATAATTGGCTGGGAAAGTATTCAGGGGTGTCACAGGACTGCAAGGGTCACAAAAATGTACTTGTTAATCACATATTTTTAGATTCATGATGTTGTATATTTTGACTTTAAATGTTCATCCATCAACATTGTTTTGCTGTCTCCACTTTATTGTGTATTTAATACATAGGCCTGCTACTATGAGATTACTGAGTTTGTAATGTTTTTGTTTTGTTTTTTTTTTGTTTTTTTTGTGTTTTATCTTTTGGGGTCCTCTTGGATTATAGTGTGATTAGTTTTTTTGTTTGTTTGTTTTTTGTTTGTTTTTTTACTTCTAACTTGTTTCTCTCATGCATTGCCACTTGGTGGAGCTATTGTCACAGCAGAGAAAAAGTAGCCCTAAGTATCTATACGCCACGTAAATTAATGCAAAAGTAGAGGAGCTTTCTTTGAAAAAGTGCACAATTCTACTGAAACAGTCCTGATGAATTAGGCCATACTTTTTAAATCTATAATTTAGCGTATGTATTTAAGAATTTGTATGATGTCGTATTGTTTGTAATAAGATAGGTCTCCGTTCAGACCGATCAGGTGTCCTCATTAGAAAAACAGCCAGTGGAGGATAAGATGTCTTCTTCTAACGCTCCAAAGTGTTGAGTTGCTTTCTGAATTATTTAGGACCCTTGAGGCGCAGAATTCGCGGATGTAGACGATGTCAACAATTCACAGTCAGAGCGTTATGGTCCCGTCCTGTGCTGTCTGCTGAGCCGGAGGCTGGTCTAATTTAAAGAAGGCAGGCATGGTAAAGTTTTAAGCAGAGCATCATTCTGTCATCGGGGTGTTCACATTTTAGGACAGTTTTCACGCAGCCTTAAATGCTGAGCTCCACACTTTGTGAAGTGGCAGTGGGCTGCTTTTAATCGCCTATAACAGCACGCATTTAGCCTCACAAGGCGCAGACACGATGTAAATGACCTGACATAGGATCTTACAGGAGTCTGCCCACGCACCTTGAGTGGTGCCGACACCAGTGACGTCATCGGGCTCACCGGCGCAGGAGCCCAGGCTCGCGCGCCCACAGTCCTGCGCTTTCCTGGACGGATAAGGAGGAGCAGGCCGACCGCTGCTGCGCATGAGGAGCACACACTGTGAAAACGGAATCAACTCTTTGAAGAATATTGCCTGTAAGTAAGATTTCTGTCTGTGCATACCTGTGTATCCAGGTACTTTGTGAACTTGTTCTGTATTTTAGCTGTAGTCACTAGAACAGCCGGTCTTTTACCGCTAAGCCACTTGATTCACTGCCAAAGTCATGGACTTCATTACGTTGATTTAACCAGCTCCTCTTCCCAGTGCAGAAAGGCCATGACATGTACACACTGCACTTCTGACTTGTCTGTGTTGCCAGTAAATTTGCCTTTATGATACATTCATATTCATTTACATTACAAGCCATAAGAGGGACCATTAGGAGCCTACTTTAAAAAAAAAAAAAAAAGAATACTGATAGAACATGAAATAAAATATAATTTTTACTAGTTGTCACCACGTCACTCATCATCGGATAAATCCTTGTTCATCACCACTAAGTAGTGTTGCATCATCACAGTTACAAGATACTTGACCTGTTACAATGATCTTTTTAAACTATTTTAAAAAGATAAAGCTGCTATACAGCTGCACAGAGTAGAACAATAAGGGCTGCCATATATGTAAATGCTCTGGACATGTAGTGTGTGTGTGCGTGTTCTTTTGGCTGTCCCATGTCCTCCTCTCAGGCAGGAAGAGGAAACAGTCTATTTGTGTGTCACACTTCAGGGCCCGGCCTCTGCTGCTAACACTCAGTATATCACAATATAACCCACTGAACTTTACTGTCCAACACTGGACTGTCCAACAATCTGTACTTTAACTCTTTAACACTGTTAACAGTGCAAAAAGGTAGACTGGACGTACTATACAAGTGTAAGAGTGTCGACTGTAAGAGTGTGATGCTACTACATGAGATATATTTGGTATTTATCTCTTCTTTGGACAGCCTTTATGTCGGTCTCATGGGTGTTGTGGGGTTTCATTTAAATGCAACACACGGTGTTAAAGGCCTTACAGGAATATCTTGGGGTAAACATATTACATTGAGGATGGTTGGATGGTTGTTTTAAGCCCTGGTTCATTTGTTTTGAGCAAACCAAAGGTTTTCTCAGGGGATTTTTGTGTTTGGTGGAAAAGCCTTTGACCTGTTGTCTTCTATGCTCTCGTTTACATATCTGCAGAGAAGTTCAATGCAAACTTAGTAGCCTGTTTTGCATTACGCACGTCATTCCTTTTTGCCTACTGACATTTCCTCATTGTTACCTTGTCCACAGACGTGAGCTGTACAGACAACAGGTGAGCCATGGAGGACGGGAAGCCAGTGTGGGCACCACACCCCACCCATGGGTTCCAGCTGGGCATGATCGTAGACATTGGAGCGGACGCACTGACCATCGAGCCGCTGCACCAGAGGGGCAAGGTCTGTGTCACTCCCCAGTCCCAAGTCACACTTAACTTGCTGCTTTCAGTAACCCCACGGGGTCAGCTCAAAGTGCATCAGAGCACTGAGGGAATCTAAAAGTTATTATTCTATTATGTGTCAAAAATGATCCACTCTTTTACACAACTGAATGAATGAATGAATGAAGTAGTCAGCTGAATGGAGGAGTGACTAGAGTCACTGATATCACACAGTGTATTCAAATGTGATTCTTCAGAAATGACAGTGGTAAGCATATAATACAGTCATAAAACAGTGACAGGAACGCTCCCTGTGGTACACACATTTGTGCTAAACATATGTCAGGTACAGCTGACCAGGATGAGGCAGTGTTGTGTTGCTCTGGGACTTCCTGAGCCGGTCAGTGGGGCAGGACTCAGACAGCAGACGGTCACTGAAGATGCTCCTCTTCGTCCCCCTCCCCCTTCTAGCCCTCCTCCCCCATAGACACATTGATAGAATCATCACACCCATATACAGGTGACATTAAAGCCTCTAAATGAACATGACACCTACACAATTAAAAATCATTTCAAAAGAGCCTAAACCTTTTGACATATTTACATATCTTAAATCCATTCACTATTTAGCACTTATATTTATAGTATTGTTTTTCGGCCCCAGACATGTTGGTCCAGAAAGCTTGTGTGCTGCCACCTAAACACAGGGCCGTGAGGTGATGTGTGAAACGGGAGCCTCGCTGTGCACTGAGCCATGAATAAGTAACAGTAGCAGCAGCAGGCGGAGATAGTGTTGCCCAGAGCAGAGAGGCTGATTAGGGACTGAAGGCCACCTGCTGCACCTGCCGCACCTGCCCCACCTGAGGCACTGCCTGTTTACCTGTTTACCGGAGTCTCACTAGAGCGTGCACTGCCATTCTCTACATGGAATATAAGCGTTTCACTGCTTTTCAATTAAGGTGCAGAGTTCTTTCAGATCTGCTACTGAATTTGTTGTATTAGTGCAACAATATTCAAATTTTAAGCTCAATTTTGAAAAGGAGTGATTCTCAATAACAATTTAGGTACCACAATGATTATAAAATACAAACTACAAAGAATTAGAAAAACAAAGAAGTTAGAAGGGTTTAAATTATGTAGTTACTTGCCCGAATCATTCTTAATAAACTATTAGTTCTTTATGAATAAAGTCCTTTCCTTTTTCATAAAATACACTGCATTTTCAACACAAAATAACACTAGTGAAATAATACTATACAAGGATTTAGATTCTGGAATTATGTCCTTTTTATGTAATTTTTTTCAGTATTGACATGAGTCCAAATTAGTATATTTTGATATAGTTTTTGTATTAATTAGTATTAAGATGTCGATATTTTGCCAACCATAATTCAAAGATGTCTATTTACACCTGTCTCCAAAGGTTGTTTCTGTGCTATGGAAAGAGTTGGCAGCCACTTTATGGTCTATTGAATTTCCCTGGGGAATATGAACTGAATTGAATGAAAGGCAGGCGTGTGATTGGCCGTTGTAGCAGCTCATTAGCCGCTCCTCTTGTTCATGGCAGTACAACATGTTTTTGTGCTGCGTTTGGCCCTCGCTCTGAGCCTGAGTATTCACAGGGTGATGGGAGATATTTGCCCTCCTGGTGCATGTTTTTGGAAGTTTAATCATCTTTAATAATGATTTTAATATCGCGTGTTCTGGGAAGCTTATCCTATTGCTCTCTCTACAAATTATTCATAAGTTTGTGTGTTCCTTGGTTCTGTTGTGACGTTGTTGTTTCACTAACTTTAAAGGGTCCTTTTTACATTATTTAAAATTTTTTATCTATGTTATGATGTTATTTCCTCATCACAAACATACTTGGAGTTGTGTTTTGTTTCATTCACACATGTTTAACACACAAAAATCTTGCATATTTAGGCTGATTTTATTTCTCAGACAGGAAAAACTCCAACTTGTGATGTTTGCTTGTCGTGTTTTTAAACTTCATACATTTCATTTAGATCATTTCAGCCCTAGAACTGGCCATTTCTACTGAACAAAAGGTAAAAGAGTAGCTGTTAACCTGAAAACTACCGCATCATCAAGGTGGAACAGAGCGTTTTGAGGTTTGGAGATATAAACAGACTAATAATAAAGGGTTACTGAAGCATGTGAATGAAACAAAACACAACTCCAAGTATGTTTTTAATGTGGTAACAGCATTACAACATGGCTTAAAGCTGTCAGTGTTATGTAATATAAGACCTTTAATTCCACTGTCTCAGACTTTGAGACTGAAACTCATTCAAAGGTGAGCTGAAGCTTATCTTATATATAACAGAGTATGGCTTTAAACCTATCTATCATATCTTGTTCTATTAGAGGTGTTTTATTGCCTTGAAAAACATCCATACTTACTGTGAGCGGTTTTGCCTCTTCACAGATCTGATCTGTAACTTGGCCTTCTTTACGTTTATTGCCATACTGTAGATCATCAAGCAAAGCAATAAAATATCCATGGAGACAAGAAGGTGACAGATCCATCACCAGAAAAGTTACACAGTGCACTTTTAAGATATACATTAATTGTACTTTTACTTCACTTCTTATTACTAAAGTTTTCAGAATCTGAATCTGACTCTGAATCTAAGTCTCATGATTAGGGGTGTAACGATATCCAAATCTCATGATACAATATTGTCACAGTATGAACCTCATGGTACGATATTTATTGCGATATCGTGGGAAAGCTCACGATATGGTGGGGAGGCTCACGATTAGGGATGTAACAATATCTAAATCTCTCAGTACAATATTTTTTGCGATATTTTGTGGAGGCTACCAAAACTGTTATTTATTTTTACTCTTAAAATGCCTTAATGCAAAGAAATAACTTAAAGACTTAAAAGTGCTTAGAACTGTTATTTCTTCTTGTAGTCTACACTGAAATGGAGCAAAAGATCATGGTCTGTGTAGTTCCCCTGCACCATAGCTCTTAATTTAAGCAAAGAGACTTGTAATTTGAAATATTGTGATGGTCCACGATATTATTGTGAGAATTTTGATGAATTCAAACATCTTTTCCAGACATTTCTTGCTCCTATGAATGAAGTCTATCCGGCAGAAGAAGACGTCAACAAGCATGTGGACGACAACTGTAAGTTTACTCCTATGTCTTGGGATTTCCACACCCAAATTAGTCTCTGAAATGGTTACTTGGATAAAAATAATCCATAAATCCCAAATGTGACAACACAATACTAAAAATATACACCGTCAACTCATTAATGTTTTCTGTCTGCATTTATGAGATTGATTTATGCTGATATCTCTTTTGAATTTGTCCCAGGTTCCCTCATGTACTTGAATGAAGCCACACTCCTCCACAACGTCAAAGTGCGGTACAATAAAGACCACATCTATGTACGTTTCTTTCTTTGTATTTTATGTATTGTTTTGTAGCTTGGCGTTTCTAAACTTTTACAAATGCCATGACGGAAAACAAATGGATGTAGGTACAACACAGGTAGCAAAACAAAAGGTTGGCCTATCCGTGTCCCTCCCTTATCTTCAGGGACAAACAGCATCTGGCAGCCAGCACTAGTGAGTCAGACGAGGCCCCGATAGGCCCAGCCAGCGTACTCGGGTCCCAGTAGTTGTTATTTTGTTAACTGAGCCCTTTCTACCTGAGTCGTGAATATGAATTGATACTGTCCAGCTGATGATATCAATGTTCCCTGGAGATGTTTATTTGTTTGTTTATTTATTTCATTCATAAAGTATAAAAAGACAACAGCAGTGTCACAACATCAAACATCCACACAATGAATGAAAAGGAACAGAAAGATGAGTGTTATTAGTGTCTTATGTACAGAAGCCGAGGGGGTCACAACAAACGCAAACGCCGCAACAAATATAAATGTGACAACACAACAAAAAGCCACAACACACCAAAAAAAGCCACAACGGAAATGACCGCGGGACTCTATTTTAATGCAAACGCTGCAACAAATACAAACGTCACAACACATTAAAAAGCCACAACACATTAAAAAGCCACAATGGAAGTGACCGCGGGACTATATTTTCCAAAGGACCAATCGAGCGCCAAGTGAAGAAGAAGAACTACAATGTAGCTTTTTTTAATTGATTGTTGTGGCATTTGTATTTGTTGCGGCGTTTGCATTAAAATAGAGTCCCGTGGTCATTTCCGTTGTGGTTTTTTTGGTGTGTTGTGGCTTTTGTTGGTTTGTTGTGGCTTTTTGTTGTGTTGCCACATTTGTATTTGTTGTGGCGTTTGCGTTTGTTGTGACCCCTCTCGGCTTCCGTACTTATTTTATCTGCCCACTTTTCCCTTTTCCAGACAAAACGTCAACAACAACTGTTACTTTAAAACATTTCAAATTAGCATATTTCAGTTCAGGCACAAATATTAATCAATTGCAAACAGAAATCTTCACTATTATACACAACAATTTAGTTTCCTTTTTCATACACATTGCATTTCATCACATACACATCACATTGCATTCGATTTTATAAGTTTTTTTTAAATGCCATCATTGTATTTGATTCGTTTATATCTTTATCAAGACTGTTCCATTAACATGTAGGTTCCTTTTAAATTGTAGTGGCTTGTTCTCAACTCGAACAGTCTTTGAATGTGTGCTAACTGTGGGCTCTGCTCTGTCTGAGGCTTTATTAGACCTTAATGTGTGCTTTATTTTAACACAGTCTGACCAATCAAAGAACTGTCAGGTGAACTGATTTGTGCTGTTAAACAAACTCCTAAACACTTGTATTGATCACAGGCTCCTGAAAGTGTGTAGTTTAAGTTTTCAGACAGTCTTAAAACTTTTTTGATAGTGTGAATTGTGTCACCATGGTAATTCCTAAACATTACACCATTAGACAGAGGTGGGACCAAGTCGTTGTTTTGCAACTCTCAAGTAAGTCTCAAGTCTTTGACCTCAAGTCTGAGTCAAGTCCCAAGTCAAAGACATGCAAGTCCAAGTTGAGTCTCAAGTCACTGGCCCATATGTCCAAGTCAAGTCCAAGTCATCTGCTTTGAGCTTCAAGTCATTTCAAGTTTTTAAACCAAACACCAAATATCATTTAGATTTTGGCAATTTATATACTTTTTAAACTAAACTGTACTTAAAATCATATGTGATTATGTATATAAGAGTTATCAAAATGCAAATTATTACGGTCAGAACAGACAGAGTTAAGATTTAAGAGTGCTTAATAACAGCTAATTTGTCAAAGCATCAAGTCTTCTCAAGTCACAGCCCTCAAGTCCAAGTCAAGTCCCAAGTCTGTCTATAATAGTGACTCAAGTCTGACTCGAGTCCAAATCACAAATTACAAGTCCTCAAGTCTGCCATTCGAAATACATGTAGAACACCCCCAGCTTGATGTCACTGCAAAGTATTAATAGGTTGCATCTGAAACTTTCCAATGTAACTGAAAGAGGCAAGAATGATTAATGAAATATCTGAATTAAAAGAATCTATCCATACATTGTTGAAGCATTTTTATTACAGGTTTGGTCTTGAGCTTGTGGCCAAATTACTATTTTTGAATGAATGATGCCAGTATTAAGAAAATAATTTCACACATAGCTTAATTTGAGCTGACAGAGAACATATTGAACTTCACACCAGCTTCTGTCTTGTAGGCTTAATTAAAAAGAAGCTAATTCTACCACCTGCCCCCACTTCAATTTTAACCCAACCCATTTTATTTAATACATATTTTGTTTTATTTTACAGACTTATGTGGCAAATATCCTGATTGCTGTCAACCCTTACTTTGATATCCCAAATCTCTATGGTCCAGAAGCAATCAAGTCCTACAAAGGGAAGTCTCTGGGAACTCTTCCTCCTCATGTGTATGCGATAGGTAAGCACACTTTACTGTAATACTGCATTAGGAGGCTATAGTATTTAAGATGTGTTTTTTTTTATTTTAGCTGATAAGGCATACAGAGATATGAAGGTTCTTAAGATGAGCCAATCCATCATTGTGTCTGGAGAGTCCGGAGCAGGGAAGACTGAAAACACCAAATTTGTGCTCAGGTAATTTTATATTTTCAAAATTGTTTTTTTTTAAATATTTTTAGAATTGGTTATATACACACGAAATTTAAAGATTTGTTCCTTGGATGTTGAGATTGTTTATGGTCTGGTTTGCAACTTTGGGACTGAAAAATTGAACTTGGATTTAGTGTAGTAAAATATCTACATTTAATTGTAGTTAATCAGTGTAAATTTATGAAAAATTAAATGAAAAATTACATTGACAAAATTCTAATGATACAGGTATCTGACTACAACTTATGGAACTGGTCAAGACATTGATGAGAGAATCGTCGAAGGTGATTATAAGCAAACTTTTTTTTAAAGAAAGAAAAATAAATATGTTTTAGTAGAGAATTTATCATAACTATGTCTGATCATGCGCAGCTAATCCCCTTCTGGAGGCCTTTGGGAATGCCAAGACTGTGCGGAATAACAACAGCAGTCGATTTGGAAAGTTTGTAGAGATACACTTTAATGAAAAGGTACAATGTGATTTTATGTCTCAAATATTTAAACCCCACTCTGCAGTTTTAACCAATTAATTTGACTTTTAATAGAATGCAGTAGTAGGAGGGTTCGTCTCCCATTACTTGTTGGAGAAGTCCAGAATCTGTGTTCAGAGCAGCGATGAGAGGAACTATCACATCTTCTACAGACTCTGTGCTGGAGCCACGGAGGAGCTCAAGAAGAAATTCCACCTGGACTCACCAGACCACTTCAGGGTTCGTGCACAGACTGAGACTTAGATCTTTTTGTTGAATCATGTGAAATATTTTTGTTGTATATTTTGTTTTTTTGTCAAAATATCATCTAGAACAATGGACACATGAGTTTTTCTCTTATAGTACTTAAATCGAGGATGCTCCAGCTTCTTCGCCACTAAGGATTCAGATAAACAAATCCCACAACAACGGAAAAGTGCTGAGGTGAGGCTAACAAAACTATGAATTTAATAAGATTTAAGTTTTAGAGACATTTGTAGTGTTCACATTGCTGTTCATTCAACCATTAAAAATATTTTAATATATAATATCTTAATTGTTATGTGAAGTTGTGAGAGTTGATGGTTCTAATCCCAACTTTCTTCCCTTCTCACTGACAAACACAGGACTCCAAGGTAACGACACCTTAGTGTGAAGTGCTTTGTTCTAGATCTGTAGGAGTTTTGCATGAAGCTGGTGCAGTACAAAGGTCGGCATGTTAATTTAAATGTGCATGAACAGGAGGGGCAAAACTTCAGGATTGTATTTATTTATTAGCTGGTTGGTTGTGTTGCTGGTGATAGTTGTGTGCCTTCTGAACATTAGCGGTGGTGGGTCTTATACATGGCTGTAGGTTTGTGACTGTTTACATATTCTGCAGCATTTGAAGAGTGGAGCCTTGAAGGACCCGCTGCTCGATGACCTGGGAGACTACAACAGGATGTGTGATGCTATGAAGAAGATCGGCCTGAATGACATAGAGAAGCTAGACCTCTTCAGAGTGGTCGCCGGAGTTTTGCATTTGGGCAATATTGACTTTGAGGAAACAGGAAGCAGCTCTGGTAATAATGATTTGCAGAATATGACCATGATAATAAAGGTTACAAGTTTTAACAAAGAGTGTGTGTCTCGTAGGGGGCTGTGTGCTAAAGAACCAATCTAGTGACTCTCTGCAGTTCTGCGCTGACCTGCTGGGTCTGGACCAGGACGATCTCAGGGTCAGCCTCACCACCAGAGTCATGCTCACGACATCAGGGGGTGCCAAAGGAACTGTGATCAAGTAAGTACATCGAGACTGTGGTGTGAAGCTTCCATTGAGGGAGGCTTGAGAGCTTTCTATCGATATATAGATTAGACTATATCTGTGAATATATTCTCAATATTCAAATAAATAACATTACATAAATCCTTTATTATTACATCAGCAACATGTTCAGTATGAATATATGGTTTAATAACAGCAAGTAGTGGTTATGGTTAAAGCTAAGATCAGTCTCCAGGAAAAGAATGCAAGTCAATGTGATGTGGCGAAAAAACATAGACACCCAGTATGTGTGTGTGTGTGTGTGTGTGTGTGTGTGTGTGTGTGCGTGCACGTGTGTGTGTGTTGGTGTGTGTGTGTGTGTATGTGTGCAGCGTGTGCGTTTGTGATTAAATCAAGTTTGCATTGTATTCTTCTCATGCAAGGGAACTGGGTTTGATGAAAAAGTGGTTCCAGGCTGGCATTGGCTGTTAATGGTTTGGTGCTTGAATGGAGAATGGAATTAATATTTTAACAGGGACAGATGCTGCTCTGGCCTGGAAGTGTTTGCTCCATATGAATAATAGAGGCTGTATCTGAAAAGGCAAATGATTAAGACCTGGCTCTGGAGCTTAGGGGCACATCCGAGGATTCAAGTTATGAAGTGACTATTTATCATTTTAAAACAGATTTCAGTTCATTTATATTAATGCGGTGACTCCTCATTTCCTTTGGTATGTGGACAGACATACAAACAGGTTAAAAGAAGGAGACACAAGGACAAAACTACTCACACATTTATAATTATGAGCTGTTCCAGAGCTGTACACACTAATCACTGAATACACTGCATTTCCTTTAATATCCCCAGGGTCCCTCTGAAGGTGGAACAGGCTAACCACGCCCGGGACGCCCTGGCCAAAGCCGTGTACAGCCGACTCTTCGACCATGTGGTGAGGAGAGTCAACCAGTGTTTTCCCTTTGAAACCTCCACCCATTTCATTGGCGTTCTGGACATTGCAGGCTTTGGTAAAAAATAAAATACTTGGATTTTGTTGTCACTCCTCGCATTATACCTTGTCACGTGGTGTTTTTTTATGTCAAATATTAGAGTACTTTGAGCACAACAGCTTTGAACAATTCTGCATCAATTATTGTAATGAGAAGCTCCAGCAATTTTTCAATGAGCGGATTCTTAAAGAGGTAAGGGGTGTATACACTCTTCTCTTTATTTAACTTTTACCTCTTCCCTGTTCCATTTCTCTTGAAAATATTTATATTTGTGGTGCAGGAGCAAGAGTTGTATCAAAGGGAAGGACTGGGGGTGAGTGAGGTGCACTACGTCGACAACCAGGATTGCATAGGTAAGATTTCATTTGTTTATGTACAACTTTAAAGCACTTTTGATGCAAACCGTGTAATAACTGGCAGACCTTGTGGAGGCCAAGCTGGTGGGGATCCTGGACATTCTGGATGAAGAGAATCGTCTCCCTCAGGCCAGTGATCAGCACTTTACTGTGGCTGTTCACAGCAAGCACAAAGACCACTTCAGACTCACGGTGAGGCCAGCTTCGTCCTGTAAACTTTAAATGGACATCACGCATGTAGAATATAGGGATGTAACGATATCCAAGTCTCATGATACCATATCGTCACAATATGAACCTCATGGTATGATTTTTATTGCGATATTGTGGGAAAGCTCACGATATGGTGGGGAGGCTCACGATTAGGGATGTAACAATATCCAAATCTCTCAGTACGATATTTCGTTGAGATATTTTGTGGAGGCAAACAAAACTGTGAATATGCTACTTTTTTCTCTTAAAATGCCTTGACAAGACTTTATCCAAAGAACTAAGACTGAAAAGTACTCAAGAATTTCTTCTTGTATTATACACTGAAATGGAGCAAAGGATCATGGTCTATGTAGTTCCCTCTGTCTTTTTTTGAGCTATTGCTGCACCATAATACTTAATTTAAGGAAAGAGACTTGTAATTGGGTATATTGTGATTGTCGACGATATTATTGTAAGAACTCTGATGATACGATATCACAATATTTCGGTTATTGTTACATCCCTATTAGAATATCTTATAGACGGAGTTGGTGCACATCGGGAATGCATGGTTGTCTCTGCTTTCAAATCAACAAACACGGACACAATTATGGTCAATCTTTTATTAAGCTGCCTTTTTCTTATACTTTATTTATCATAATCTTCAATTTTATGAATGAAATGAAAACTTATATCTATGATAATACCTTTATTTGCATAGTAATTTTTTAAAACAAATTACATAGTACTTCACAATATACCTCATATGCACAAATGAAATGTTAAAACAATAATAGGACACCATAACTAATAAATAACTACAATTTCCTCCCTAAAATATGTAATTAATTAATTTCAATAAAAGAAGGTATGTGTTTCATTTATTTTTTTGTTAGGTTCCGAGGAAGTCAAAATTGGCCATTCACCGGAATCTGCGTGATGATGAAGGCTTTATGATCAGACATTTTGCCGGAGCAGTTTGTTATGAAACGGTAATACTTATATATTTGAATAACTTGTTGTACATATTTTGTGGCAGAAACAGATGAGAGTCAGTTAGTTTAGTTATTCTGCCCTGAAATTTGCATGAATCCCTGTGTTTTTTGTTGTTGTTTTTTTTTGCCCACACAGACACGCTTTGTGGAGAAGAACAACGATGCCCTGCACATGTCCCTGGAGTGTCTGGTGTGTGAATCCAAAGACACATTTGTCAAGGAGCTGTTTGAGAACTACAACAGCACCAAAGATGTCAAGCAAAAGTCTGGCAAACTCAGCTTCATCAGCGTTGGCAACAAATTCAAGGTCTGGATCCCTGCAGAGTCTGAGACTGGTTTATATTCTTCATTTTCCCAGCTCTGTTTTACTTCCTCTTCCAAGTTCTCCTGTAGACTTCCTTCAGTATTCCTCCTTTTCTTCTTTGAGCTCCTTTGGGGATAAAACAGGATCAAGTCAGATCAAGGTACAGTTATAAAGAAGCAGAGTTCAGTTTCATTCCTACTGCATCCCACCCTGCATGCACAAAGGCAAACATTGAGTTCTTTCAGCATTGCCCCCTGATGGATTTATACCCTCTCCAAACAAGCTACATAATATTGACATAGACTGTGTGACAATGTGCATCAAATATTCTAACAATAATATTCTTTCTGATGTACAGACTCAACTGAATCTATTGCTGGAAAAGCTTCGTAGTACTGTAAGTATCCATGTTTTCCTCCGCACAGCTTTGGACAGGAAGGGTGGGGATCCTACCTCAAGATTAGGGATTGAATGAGCAATGTTTTTCCCGTGCACTTAGGGCTCCAGTTTTATCCGTTGTGTGAAGCCCAATCTAAAGATGGTGAGCCACCAGTTTGAGGGGGCCCTGATCCTGTCTCAGCTGCAGTGCTCTGGTACGTTCTGTGTTGTAGCATTGTCCTCCTTCACCTTTATTTGTGAACCTCTGCGTTTGACAGATGAACTCAGGAGTTGATGAATAAAAATATTGACATATTTTTTTGTAAAATGCAGCTGTTAGTTTTTTTAAGCAGCTCCTAAGTGTAACATGGGCACTGTTGCTTGTTGGTAGGAATGGTGTCAGTGCTGGACCTGATGCAGGGGGGCTTTCCTTCTCGTGCTCCCTTCCATGAGCTCTACACCATGTACAAACAGTACCTACCCGAAAAACTACAGCGACTTAACCCACGACTCTTCTGCAAGGTTTGACTTACTCTTTGTAAATAAATACACTGATTCTTCATATAATCATACTCCATCTGATTATTGTGCTTTGGTTTTTGTGTCAAGGCCTTGTTTAAAGCTTTGGGACTAAATGATGCTGACTTCAAGTTTGGGTTGACCAGAGTCTTCTTCCGTCCTGGAAAGGTAATTTATGTTTTTCGACAGCCTCAGTAATTATTTTTTAGCATAATCACTGTCAGTATGAACAGACTGTTTTGTTACCGTCAGTTCGCAGAGTTTGACCAGATCATGAAGTCCGACCCGGAACACCTGGCAGAGCTGGTGAAGAAGGTCAACAAGTGGCTCGTGTGCAGCCAGTGGAAAAAAGTGCAGTGGTGCAGCTTGTCGGTCATCAAACGTGAGCCAGACTTTGAGCAGTACTTTCCCCACAAACAGTGACAGTGTAACAGAATATGATAATTACAGTGCACTTGGACAAATAGCAGAGCTGTTTGCATCACCTAGGCATAAAATGTCTTATATTACACAAAATATATTCTTATGAGCTGTAAGCCATGTTAATGTTGTTACCTCCTCTGAAACATACCCGGAGTTGTGTTTTGTTTCAATGAGATATGTTTGAGTGATTATTTTTTTTATTAGTCTGTGTACATATCCAAAGCTCAAAATGCTCTCATCCTTTGTGATGTCATGTTTACAGCTTCTTTTTATCTTCAGTTCAGAGTTTGGCAATTCCAGGACAGAAATTATCCAAATGATTCTAGTGAGAGTTTAAAAGACATTGGAACACTTCCTGTATTACGACATGACATCACAAGGTGGAAAAGAGTGTTTTCAATTTGAGAGAAGAACTCCTAAATATGCAGGGTTTGTGTGTTAAACATGTGTGAATCAATAAAAACACAACTCCAGGTTTGTTTTTGATGAGGAAACAACATAACATAGATCAGAAAATAAATAGGCACTTAAAATATTGTGTTTTAAGTGGTTTAAAAGAGCCTGAGGTGTCTGGGTACTGCATACTAATAAAAAATATTATTGTTTTCCCCAACAGTTCGTAACAAAATGAGATACCGAGCTGTGGCCTGCATTAAGATCCAAAAGACTGTTCGCATGTGGCTCTGCAGAAGAAAACACAAGCCACGGTGAGTCCTACTGCATTTTCAGTTATCACTGTTCACATCTCTTGCATCTGGGGGTGTTTTGAGGCATTTTTGGACTTTGGGACACATGCTTGTTGCGAGGAAAGTCTATTTACATGGGTTTGTGGTGTACAGTGTGAATGGATTGGTGAAGGTTCGTAATCTGAAGAAACACATGGAACATTTGACCAAAGTGGTAGACGGGCTGAAGGAAGGGAAACAAGATGTGGCCAAGCAAGTGCACGAGCTGGCTACTGCGATAGACCAGCTGATGACCAAGATCAAGGTGAGAGGTCAAACAGGTTGGCTATAAACATAACTTTAAGCTGACTATAATATTTTTACACTTGCCACACTTATTATTTATTTCTATAGCATATGCAGTTAAGCAGATAGGTGTTTATTTTAATTACTGCTCATATATTGAAATACCTATGTAATTGTTTTTCACTGTTAAAATTATCCTGGCAGAATTTTTCCCCAAAAAACTTGTCAAGACCCTAATTCAGACTGAAGCTGTTTCTGTATTTCTCTATCTGTTCTCATTTTAAGTGGTGTCTCAATCAATCAAGCAAGCAAATGTCATCTTCTTTTTTTTTTTATTTGTGGGGTTTGCAGTACTAATTTATCCAGATTTTTCCAGAATGGTTGATTTGACTTTCCCATAAAGAAAATTTGAAAAATTTTTTCACATTGCTCTCACTGTGCAGACCACTGTGATGAGCTGGAAGGAGATCGACTCGGAGTACCAGGCCTTAGTCCGACGCTCGGAGCAGCTGCTGGGCTCCATGCAGAAGAAGAAGCAGGAGCAGGATGAGAGCGAGAGGCTGAAGCACATAGAGGAGGAGATGGAGAAGGAGAGGAAGAGGAGAGACCAGGAGGAACAGCGCCGCCTGCAGGAGGAAGAGGAGAGAAGACTGTAAGACTTCTACACTTTCGGGCATCTGTGCCATCAAAAACTGTGCCCCCTCCTTTTAAAATGCAAAGATACACTATGCAACTTTTCTAGAAAGTTCCCCTGCAGTAAACTAATCTATCTCTAAGTTACATGTCAAGTTTTAAGAGGTGAACCCTGACACCCAGACAAGCAAGTGATGGACCCCCTACTTGAAATGTTACTTTTTCCATTTTTGTAGTTTTACTGTGTAAGATTGGACAATAGAAATCAAATATTCTTCAGAAAGTTCTTCCCAAGTCTGTTGCAGAAGTTTCCATAAATGTGTGGCACTTGTAGGTTGCTTGGCTTTACTCTTCTGTCCAGTTCAGCCCAAACCAGCTCAATGGGTTTAAGTCTGGAGACTGTGCTGACACTTCATATTTTCAAGCTTATCTTGTTCTTTTTTCCTGAGGTAGTTTTGGCAGAGCTTGGACTTGTGTTTTGTTATCTTTTATCTTAATTTTTAACCTCTGACTGTTCAGTATTGACCTTTGTACCATTTCAAGTTCTTCATTGGACTTGAACGACTTGAATTTCAATAAATAACTGGAAAAATTTGAGTGTTCTAAAACTTTTCATCAGTAGTGTATACCTCATGTAAAACAGTTCATGGAGGGATTGTGCGTTAGTTGTCTACATACCTGCTTTGAACCTTCAGAGGAGGAGTGGACCTCATTTGCATAGCGCTCATTCAACTGCAACATCGCTGAAAAACACACAATATATATTTCAGTTCATACATGCAATGCTTGTTTCAGAAATATCTAAAACTAAAACAATTTAATAGGGATGGAACAAGATCTCACAAGACAAAATTGCCACAAGATTAAAAATAATCTCGTGAGATTTTATTTCCCCATTTGGATTGGACAAAATAGGGTTAAGTGCTGATGATCTGAATCTTTTGAGAAGCCATAGTTCCTAAAAGCACAACAAAAATATTCACTGAAGTAAGTACAAATTCTGAAGCCAACTTTGGGAACTAATTCGGACAATTTACAGATTAGAAAAATGTCAAAATCTCGTCTTGTCTCGTTCATGTGAACCCAATCTCGTGTCTCTTTTCATCTTGTGGAAATTGTATCTTGTCTCATCCCTACGATTAAAGCCTACCCTTACCTTGTGGGTCTAGTCGGGGGTCAACAAAGCCCCAGTGCTGGTACAGAGCGGCCAGATCATGGGGACTGTAGTGTTTTTTAACAGGCTTAAAATATTTATATCCATTGGCATTTGTCCCGTTGATTCACCTTTTCCCTGAGCGAATAGGAGAGGGTCCAGATAGGCTTTGCTCCCATGTACACCCCACATGTTCAAGGCTGCCCACAGGTCGTGACCTTTGAGACCTGAGGTGGGGTCACATGACTGTCTTTGGGAGTGGAGTCTATTTGAGTTTGATGAAGTGCTACTGTGGTGGTTTCGGGCCAGCATAAAACCCAAACCCTCTTGTGGGAAGTTGCCCTTAACTCTGTACTTTGGACTGGACTGGGCACTGGATGTACTCTTGCTTTGCCCCACAGCGCCTGAAGAAGTAGTCCCCTTACTGCCCCCCACTGCTGCAGACTTCTGGGATGCCACTTTACCTGCCCCAGCTACAGAATGGGAGTCCTTTGGATGAGTCGTCTTGGGTTTGGAGACAGTTGATTGGCTCTTGTTGCTTGAATTCTTGCTGCTACTATTACTACTTGTGCTACTTCTGCCGCTACTATTTGCGTTGGTTCGAGGAGGGTGAGTCCGCTGAGTTCGTGGGGTGGGTAAAGCAGGGCAGTCTTTGCCCTCAAGGAAAGGGGGAGGTCCTGTCCGTCTCTTGGGTGCGGAACCTGTTTTTAAACTCTTGAAGGTGATTGGACAAGGGGCCCATTTTGGAGCCATGGAGCTGCTGCCGTCCACTCTGTGTGCGACGCGCTGGTGGATCCACAGCACTTCAGGATAGTTGGATGTGTGGGAGCAGTATGGGCACTGATTTTTGACCAGACCCTCTGATTTGACAGAGGTTACAGTGCTGCCCTCGACAACGGACAGATTGAGTAGTGTGCCTGGTTCACCTTTGACCTCAGTAGAATTTGGCGTTTCAGTTTTTATGTTCTGTGCCTCTGAAGACCCCAGGACAGGAGTGTAAGTGTAAGGGTTCCAGTAGGATTGACTGAGCAATGCGCTTCTCGTCCTGAGGTAGTCCATATACCTGGAAAATACACAAAAGTAATACAACATTCAGTGAATCACCCAAAATAACAAAGGTGTTTTGGACAAACTATAATTACCAATTTTGTGATATAGAAAGATAAATAAGAGGTTATCATAACAAAACAAGAAATTTACTTGAATTGGTAGTAGAAAACAAAAAAAAACTATAGTGAATGTTGTTCTGAAGTTCTGCAAAATTTAAATATTAAGTATATAGTTTAGAATAAAAAATGCTGATTAAAAGAAGTACTGCACTTTTGTGGGACCGCGAGTTAGCCATGAGAATCGCCCAGAGTGAGGCGGAGCTTATCACAGAGGAGGGACAGCTGGACCCGAGTCTGCGCAGGTGTGTTTACCTCATTTGAACTCATAACACGCAACTATTGTGACGTATAAATAAAACACAAACAACATCAAACCAGGTCTTAGTGTCTCATTAGGGCTGCAGCAATTCAGAAATGTCACAACTTATTGAATATCAAAATAATCATAATTATATTTTGTTAATTATAATTATTATCTGCACTATACTGACTGATTGATTATAAAATCCAAAACACAATACACTTAATTTGTAAAGATTCTATGTGTAGACACCTTAAGTCACCATATTTATGTACTGTAGAAATGTACCAGAGGTGGGACCAAGTCGTTGTTTTCCAAGTTTCAAGTAAGTCTCAAGTCTTTGACCTCAAGTCCAAGTCAAGTCCCAAGTCAAAGACACGCAAGTCCAAGTCAAGTCTTGAGTCACTGGCCCATAAGTTCAAGTCAAGTCCAAGTCATCTGCTTTGAGCTTCAAGTCATTTCAAGTCTTTAAGCCAAAAAAGTACCAAATACAGCTTAGATTTTTGCAATTTATTTGAATTTTAACCTAAATTGTTCTTTAAAAGTCATGGTATATTTATATATATGAGTATTTATATAAGAGTTGTAGAAATGCAATTTTTTCCTTTTTAAATGTCTTGACAAGATCTTAGTGTGAATCATGACAGTCAGAATAGAAACAATTCAGATTTAAAAGTGCTAAATAACAGTTATGTTGTCGTGTAGTCTGCACTGAAATGGAAGCATCATGTTCTGTGTAGTTCCCTCTGTTTTACTGTATTGTACTGCATATTACTGCATAGTACTGAATATTACTGTAGTGTACTGTAGTGTACCGTACATTAGTACATTTGAGGGTACCATCTCACAGTACTTCAATTCCATCCAAAGTAACAGAAGTAGGATGGACATGTTCCAGTTTGTTCCTGTAAAATTAAGCACTGCGTTTATCAACTGAAAAGAGAAAAGTATTTTCAAAAAACATATATCTTTTTTTATCAAGTCATCTCAAGTCACAGGCCTCAAGTCCGAGTCAAGTCCCGTGTCACTGACCTTCAAGTCCAAGTCGAGTCCCAAGTCTTAGTCCATTTTATTAAGTCAAGTCTCAAGTCCTAAAAATAGTGACTCAAGTCTGACTCCAGTCCAAGTCACAACTCTCTGAAATGTACCATATTAATGTATTTAAAAAAAATTTAAAAATTTAATTTTACATTGTAATTGATGCCATCACCATTCTCTGAGGGCATGATGCTAACTGTAGGCATGCTCTGTTTGAGGCTCTGTTAGACTAACACTAACACAATCGGACCAGAAAAAGTAAAAATAATCATTTGTTGCAGCCTTCACTAGCCCTCCCATTATTTAAAAAAGCAGTTCCTTCTTGATTTGAAGGACTTTGTGAGGACCTTTCCCTATTCAAAGTTACAGTATTTTAAATCAAATTAATTGCTGTAACCACAGAGGATAGACCAGAGTTTGAAATCTATGAATAGAAATACTTAGTAATAGCAATTTGCAATTCCATTATAGTAATTATTCGATCAGTGTTCAAAGTTTATTTTTGCATTATGAATCTTTAATTTGCTTTATCCACATTATTTACTCCAGTCTATAACATTGTCCCTCTCCAAACCTCAGGGGGGCGCAGGTGCAGGCCACAAAGGCGACTGCTGGTGTGAAAAAGTACGACCTGAGCAAGTGGAAGTACGCAGAGCTCCGAGACGTCATCAATACTTCATGTGGTGAGCTGTACCTCAACTAACTGCTGTTCTAATTCTTATAAGTGCTACATTTTTAATAGCCTTAATAAAGCAAAAACAAAGACCTTTTCATAATGAACAAATATTTTGATAAGAATGGCTCAGTAACTTCCTAATTGGGGGGTTAGGGTATTAATGAAGCAGTGGCTTAAGTGCTTAAGTATTAATCTACTGTGTTTCAGACATTGAGCTGCTGGCTGCATGCAGAGAGGAGTTCCACCGGCGTCTGAAGGTGTATCACGCCTGGAAAGCCAAAAACAAGAAACGCACTGATGATGACAGCAACCAAAGAGCTCCCAAATCTGTCACAGACTATGGTCAGTTAGATCAGTGATTCTTAACCATAGGGCCGGGGGGCCATTTCCTGGGGTCCCCAAAATCAGTACAATATAATGCATTTTAATATGAGATAGGGCTCCAGGTTACTTTTTTAGAAAAAGTTGGGCCCAAAAATTGAAAAGGTTAAGAATCCCTGAGTTAGATGAAGTACTACCTAAGATTATATTTTGCTTCCCAAGTACTACCAGGTCTATAACATGATTATTCTATGTCTAGAATAATAGGACTACGCCATTGCCCCACTAGTTATGACTAAGAAGTTACCCAAATGAGGACAAAAATGTGTATTACACTGACACTACATTAAGTATACAGTAGCACTATAGATTACTGCCTGACCAACATTCAATGTCTTCCATTTAAGCAAAAATAAATAAATAGAAATAAGTAATACAGATCATAGTTAGAGCTGACTACAAAAATAGCTGAAAGTGTACTTGGTGCAGCTTTGCAAAGGGGAAAACCTTATTTTGTTAATATATGACCTTGTGCTAATTTTCCATCATGAAAGAAGACATATTGTCCATATATATTCAAACTGTAAACAGACTTTTCACACTGTCCTTTGTGTTTTAGCTGAACAGAATCCAGCTCCTCCAGCCGCTCAGCATCAGGAGGTGGCCATGAACAGACAGCAGAGGTACTTCCGCATCCCCTTCATTCGGCCCGCAGACCAGTACAAAGACCCCCAGAACAAGAAGAAGGGCTGGTGGTACGCACACTTTGACGGGCCCTGGATCGCACGCCAGGTGGAGCTGCACCCTGACAAGAGACCCATAGTCCTGGTCGCAGGTTAGCAGATATTAACAAGAATCATTAACAAACATCACATGGAGTTGTATTTAGTTTCAGGCAAATGAATGAATTACATGGTATCTACACTATTGCAGCTTAAGCCTTTCAATCATAATAATACCCAAGCCATTTTTCTTGGCAATTTAATTCACTCTACATACTGGGTTATGATCATATATAGAGTTGGGAGAAACATTACTAATATGCCAATGTTTGTTTTAGACATTATTTTTAAAATGTTGCTCACTAAATAAAAATAAAACAAACTTGCAATCTCGTTATACAGTGGTATAGAATGTCTATATTTAGTGCTTAATTTTAACAGTATCTTTTTGTGCAACCCTTGAATCTTAAGCACATTTAGCATATTTTTACCATCAAGTAAAGTAGATTGACAAAAGTTATGAACATAATTGCACTTTTAAAACCATATTATTTCCATCTTGCCATTTGATAGCTGCATTTTGAATTTTTGATGTGGGCTAAATGTTTTGGTTTCAGTTTAAATGTTCCTGTGTTTACTCAGGGAAAGACGATATGGAGATGTGTGAGCTGAGTCTGGAGGAGACAGGACTGACCAGGAAGAGAGGAGCCGAGATCCTGCCACGACAGTTTGAGGAGATCTGGGAACGCTGTGATGGAATTCAGTACCTTAAAAAGGCCATTGAGAACAAGCAGGCACGGCCCACATACGCTACAGCCATGCTTCAGAGCATGCTCAAGTAATGCACCTGCCCTGGGCCCTCTACTGCCCCCTACAGCACGTTTTTCATAATGTCATTTTTATCACTGATGTTGTTTTGCTCTTCATGGCCTTAACTATGTTCTGTTTTTGTTTTGTTTTTTACCTTAAGTTAGTGTGGCCTTTAGTCTGTTAAGATTTAAGAACAATCAAGAAGTGAAAACAATCCATATTTCTGAGTACAAAATATAGATGCTTATGAAATATCAAATGAAGTAATTATTTACTTTTTTCAGTTCAAAACTTAAAAGGAGACAGATAACAGACTAAACCTTATATATTCAATTTTTAATATTTATTTTAATAATTTGTTGCCATGCATTAGACAATTCCACTGTACAACCCTCACAAATGGATGTTGTACTTTCCATGTAGAACTGTTTTGTAGAAGATTATTGCAGTTATGATTTGCAGTTTTGTGAATTTCGTGTTCTTCAATACCAGTGGATGAGTGTGTGTATTGTTAAGCAGGATGTTTATAAACCTTTTGTTCTTCTGTTTCATGATGGCCTTCACTCACCAAGAGAAAATAAACCCTCAAGACAGGCTCTTGGCTTATTTACTGTGTTTCAAATGGTACTGTATTATGTAGTCACACACACACAAGGCTACCAAAATGACAATACAAGTATGTTTGATTTTAATTTATTTAATGGATTTTAACATTTTCATTTTAATGTAAAATGCAAATGTATAAATGATACTTCATACATGGCAATTATGGCTCTCCAGGTCACATATCACATTTATTTTATGTCTATGCATTTGTATCACCAATTTTATGTATCTAATAAATAATAAATACCTCATTATGAGGAAATAACCACCTCAGACAAAGGAAACAGGAACATATCCTACTCTTTGTACGTAAACTAAACTCACACCACAGTTACTTCCAAGCAGTCGTTTTCTGAAGCTCTCAGAACACAGCATGTTCTCCCTGGGATTTGTGGCCGCCACGTCTGTGAAGCAGAAAAGTAATAAAATATGAGCTAAAATGAAGGAGGGAAAAAAAGAGTTCATTTGGACTGTTGGTTTAAGTGGGGCAAGCGTACTGTTAATATGCTTATTTTGTGGTTTAGGTGCATAAAGTAGAGCGATTACTATTCATAAAAAAATCAGGTCAAGCATATATTTTCCAGATCTTACAACTGATACTTTGCAGCTGATTTCATCAACATTCCCTCGGAGTGTGATGCTAATTGTAGGCTCTGCTCTGTCTGAGGCTTTATTAGACTTTTATCTGAGTTTTATTTTAACAAAATCTGACCATAAAGAATTCGTGAACTGTACTGTTATACAAGTCTCCCTCTCACATAAAATTACAGTCACTAGGTGAAGCTAGTTGAAAATCAAACACCTAAACATGACCACAAACACTCCTAAAAATGTGCTGTTTACATCCATTTTGTGTTTTTTCTTGAGTTTTCAGACAATCCTAAAACCTTTTTTGACCGCGTTCACTATTCTGTGCATTCGTCTCAGTGGTAAGTGCTGAACATTTTACTACAGAGACACATGTAGAATACCTTCACCTTCTGTTCACACACTCACATAGACACACACATGGTTTGTGCATTTCCAATCATGAGTGACCTGGATCGTGTAGCACTGAAGGTGTTGATGGAGTGTATGTCACTTGCTGCACTCACCAAACCAACCAACATGCTCCAGTTTTTAAGTGAGTATACGGCAGATATAGTCAGATACCGAGATCGGCACCAACTGAGCGACCCATTGTTGCTATTTATGACTATCAACATGAGTCCTCCAAGGCTGTTGTCCAGAAACTATTAGAGGAAAGTGAGCAGGCAGACGCAGTGCCCACTACTATAAACAAAGTCACAAAACCACAAAAGCCAGTTGAAAAGACTGTTCCAATGAATAACAATCAAAGGGCCAATGTGGCGGCTCCCCCTTCTTCAAAAACCCCTCTACTAAGTAAGAGTGAACCAAAACCCACCACAGTATTGCCTCTGAGTTCAGCAAGAGATTCTCGTTTATCAAAGAACACTGTTGCACCCAATAAGGCACAGTTAGACCATAGTCACCACACACATGCTCCACCTATGCATTTGTCAACAGCCCCAAACTCCCACCCTGGTGCTCACAGAAGCATAGTCAGACCAAGTGTAGCCCCACACACAGCTCAAAAGACAAGGGTCAGCAAAGCCACTGAGCGTCATGCAAAACCATCTATAAACAGTGTAGCAGCCAACAGCCAACTGCTCCCAGGTCCAACTTCAGTGTACCTGCTCAGGGACTCCACGTAGATAAAGGCCAACAAACACTTGGAACATAACCGATGTCTCAATAAATCTCCCCATTGCAAACAACAGTTTCTGGATTTATTTGTTATTCTTTTGTGTATTTTTGTCCTATATGTGCACGTCTTACGTCATATTTGTGCGACAAATGACTAATAACTTCAGTTCAACCTACTTACAGTCTCATTTAATCAATCAAATATGCTTCACTCAAACAGTTAATGACACCAATTGTGACATTTTACAGTCATGGGATTGTATATATTTGTGCCTTACCTGACTGTGTGGTATGCAGTGGTGGATGTCCACCATATCCGATACTAACTTTTCTGATCTTGTTGTGTAGAGTTGTCTGGGGATCTAAAAACAAGAAAAGATTGTGAGTGATACTATACATTTTAGCTGACATGAACACTATATTTATGTTTGGAATTTCCGATTGTTCTTGCCAATTTGGTGATGTTAAAAAAATAGAGCAAGTGTTTGCAAACTTTACACAGGAATACAAAGTGTTAGTGTCTGTAATATTAGTCATACAAAGTGTCTACATACAATATTAGTAACTAATGATTAATGGGGCTTATGTTTTTAGTGGGACAAGCTTAGCTGAGGTTAGAGACTTCAGTCTTCAATACCTCAATACTTAGATGAATATTTTCAATTGAAGCGAAATGCTCTTGCTCAGATGCTTGTGACTGTGAAGACACAGAGCTCGAAGGATAAGGCAATGTGGACACCTGAGTTAGCAACTCATCATCATTCTGAAATACAGGGTTCACCCGCAACGTGTGGTCAAAGGCATAAGGAGCCACTGTGTGCCTACATGAAAAACAATGTAATGATGACAAGCAAACAGCAGTCACACTTTAGATCATATACTTACATCGTAGTTACAGCTTTTTGGGGCTTGATGCATTTCTTGTTAATAAATATTAGAATGCCGATAACAGCACCGACAAGGCAGAGACTCCCCACGAGGCCAGTGAGAATGAGCGAAGTGTCCAGGGGCAGAGTGATGAGCTCATCACAGCGCTCACCATGGTAGTGCCAGTATTTACCAACAGGGCATCTGAAATATATACACACGAAATACATTTTTAACAAATAAAATACAAGCATTATTGATTCAGTGTTTTAAAAGCACGTATTTTAACTATTTCAGTGAATTTGTGGATTTGTTTTTAATGCTGCAGAAAATTCTATTCGTAAACAAGGACACTTAGTCACTCAGCACTCAATAGTCATGGCCCATGAGTCAAGTATTCATATAAGCAATAAAGGTGTTATAGTTTTTGGACATATGCTGATGTGAGCTGTACCTGCAGGTGGCGCCGTGACCTGGTATGTTTTGACACAGACCTCCGTTGAGGCAGAAGTCTGGCTCCAGAGTACACAGGCTCTGACAGGGCTGGCCATTCACTGCACTGTATCCAGGATCACAGACACACTCAGCTTCTCCACTCCAGCCGTTTATCATACAGCGGGAGAACTCTGAGCATGTGATGGACTGACAGGGATCTGGCTCATCAGCTGAAAACAAAAGGTCAAGAAACATTTATTACGACAATGCAGTCTTCATATTATTTGAGGCTACTTATGTTTTGGACATTGGCCACATGAGCATGCTATACTGACCTGGTTCTACCTCCAGAGAGCGGCTGTCCACCTGGATGTCGAGCTGGCTGGAGGCGGAGTTACAGAAGTCCTCCAGGACACAGTGCACTGCCTCAGTCACGTTGTATGGCACAGCTTTGTTCAGCTTCATCTTACTATTTACTATTACACTGCCATTCTGGAAGCTCAGGATCTCCAGAGCTTTGAAGCCCGTCAGGTTGGTTGCCAGATATGGAAGAAGCTGTCAGAACAGTTTTGTGGGTTTAATATTTATTCTATTTCAGTGTGATGTTTCCACATTTGATGATGATAAGCATGTGTTAGTACATCTTGGTGTTTGAAACAACAAAATGTCTATGTATGCTGATGCATACATAGACATACATACATGCTGATTTTATTTACAGCATTAGCTCAAGGTTAGTCCCAGTGTCACACCTGATTCTGCTGTTGGTCTGGGTTAGCTTATATAACTAATGCATGTTACAGTCACAGATATTATGATTAGGTGATTAGTAAGGGTAAAGCAGGGTTCTGCACATGTGGCAGCACAGTGGCAATCCACCCCCCCCCAGCTAACAGTCATGCAACTCAATCATGCAAAAAACACAATGTAGATAGTACTGATAAACTTTCTTAAAAGTTGCTCAAGATGCTTTACAGTGGGAATGAAACCACAGACCTGTGAGTTACTGGGTGAGGTACCACTGAGCCCCTGGTGTCACATAGTTAGTTTTACTTAATCACATATTATTATTCATTATATACAGACCCTGTGTTCTCACTAACCTGGGATTATGTGCAGCATGTCACAATTAAATTACACTGCAATGTTGTCAGTAGACTATAGTGTATAGTGTGTAAATCACTAAATCATAAGATCCAGGCAGCAGTGGCTGAATAAGTTATAAATACATATTATATTTTTAAGTGTTTAATGTCCCAGATTATTGGAAAACAGCGGGGTTTGAATTCAATCCAGAAAAACAAACTTGCATGTGCTCAGAGCTCAATTGTGCAAAGGTTAGTGAACGCAACAGACAAGGCATTCTCAGGGACATGAACATCCCCTAAAACAAGGGAGGAATGTACCGGGATGGAGGCTAAGGTTCTTAAACTGTGTGGCCCTGATTTACGAGAAGCTCCAGGGTTCTGCTGCTTTCTGAGGCCAGGCCGCTGTGTCTATGTGAAACAAATGATTTTATTCCATTTTCTGATCACGTGAGGTTTTGTTCAAACATGCCAGTGGAACACCAGCATAACACCAGTATGAAAGCACAATTCACAACAATACAGTTGTATACACAAACTAAATGCAGCCAAAGAGAGATAAGCTGCAGACAAAATGAACTGTAGCTAATTCAAGTCAAGTCAAAATACTGTAAATAGTAGCATAACTATCTGTGGGCTATATCCTACATGATACAAGTAGAAGACATAAAAGTATAAAAACCTACCAGCTCCAAAAAGGTGTTCTCCAGGGACTTATACTCAGCAGAGTCTTTGTTGAAGAGGTTGTCTGTAAACATCATGTTGGAGACCCTCAGGCGAAAAAACACCACCAGGTCCTTGCTCCTCTCCACAGCTGACATCAGAGGTGTGCTGACCTGTCTCATTGCAGGGGCAGGTGTCCACTCGTACACGCCTGTGTCAGCATCAGAGGATAGTCCACTCCCACTTTCCCCCTCTGTGGGGGTGCTCTCAGAGGAGAGTCCACTTTGCCCCTCTGTGAGGGTGCTGTGAGGGTGTTCATAGGACACACTATCCCCCTCTGTGAGGATACTCTCAGGGAGAGTGTTAGGGGACACGTCAACCCCCTCTGTGGTTGTACTCTCAGGAACAGTGTCAAGGGACACACTGTCTCCCTCTGTGAGGGTACTCTCAGGGACAGTCTCAGAGGACACGTCAACCATCTCTGTGGGGGTACTCTCAGGAACATTGTCAGGGGACACACTGTCCCCCTCTGTGAGGGTGCTCTCCTCTGTGAGGGTGCTCTCCTCTGTGAGGGTGCTCTCCTCTGTGAGGGTGCTCTCCTCTGTGAAGGTGCTCTCCTCTGTGAAGGTGCTCTCAGGGACAATGTCAGGGGACACATCATCCTCTTCAGTGGGGCTGCTCACAGGGACAGTCTCAGGGAACACACTGTCAACCTCATTGTCCCCCTCTGCGAGGGTACTCTCAGAGGACACACTGTCTCCGTCTGTGGGGATGCTCTCAGAGGACACACTGTCCCCCTCTGTCGGGGTGCTCTCAGAGGACACACTGTCCCCCTCTGTCGGGGTGCTCTCAGAGGACACACTGTCCCCCTCTGTCGGGGTGCTCTCAGAGGACACACTGCCCCCCTCTGTCGGGGTGCTCTCAGAGGGAACAGCATCCCCCTCTGAGTGGGTGCTCTCAGGAAGAGTTGCAGTAAGGGTACTCTCCGGGCTGCTCCCCGCCGAGGTTTCCTCTTCTGCTGCAGCTGTCTCCATGTTTGTGTCTCCGTCCTTGTCGTGTTGTTCAGTCAGGTCCAGATCAGTGGGGACTGTGACCTGGATCTCTGTGGTCTGTGTTGGTGTATGATCACTGAACAAATGTACATCCACTCCAGGTTCTTGTAAAAGAAAAAAACAATAATTAGCAATATTATTTATTTATTTATTAGATTTAATAACTTATTCCAAGCTATTTGTAAAAAAGTGTAGTCCACCAGCTCTGTCAATGCTCTGTATGCTCTCACCTGTCACCGGGGACTCTACAAAGAACCCATCTTCTTCTGTGAGAGGTAACTGTTCCACATCTGTCACAGCATCCCCTGCAGGATACACAGGAGTTTGCTCTGGTTCAACCCAAATGACGTCTGTCAGAGCTTCAGGGATGAGGGTCATAATGGTGTGTGTTTCTGTTGATATGCTGGAATCTTCTGAGTGTTTAAATGCAGCCATAGCAACGGTTGAACTCTCCTCTACAGGGGACACTGCCGTAGGTGCTTTTTTGTTCACATGGTCTTCCACTTCGTACACTGTGACACAGGAAGAAGGTCAAGTTAAACTTGATGAGGTTTTGTTATCCCTTTATTTGGGCCATTTCAAACTTACATTTTGAAGTTTCCACATAAGCCCCTTTGACTATGACATAATGCTTTCAGACATTAGTGCAGACAACATACCTGCATCAAAGCTGAGAGTATTGAGGTCCAGTGGCAGTGAATGATCCTGCTTCAGGGCCTTGACGATGATGTTCTGAAGTTTGGGTGCAGTCATGTCCCTTTGTGTCTCCACATCAGTGTTGTGGTACCCCTCCGGCTGGTCACTGAGTTCAGTGTCACCATTAAATAAAACTGCATAGCGCACAGACACATCCTCTGCCCTGAGGAGCACAGAAACAACTCCTTTGTATGCCCTTTGTAATTATTATATTCTAGCTGCAGAAATGTACTCTTCTACTTACCGAAATCCCAGCACTTGGATTTCTTTGAATCCAGGAATTTTTGCAAAAACATGATACATCTGAAAATGTAGATGTAATTTAAATTTAAACCACCCACAATTACACATTCACAAACACTGTTGTTAAGTGTCTTGCTCAAGGACACCATAACAAGATGATCTAGCTTGTGACAGTACCTTGTCTCTGAGCTCCCGAACCACATCAGCATATTCAGGAGTAGAAGGGTCTCGGAGAATCTCACTGTAGAGGGGGTCCTCCACAGTCACACTGAACTCCACTATCCACTGCTGCTGATTCTCAGGAATCAGGTTGGCCTCCTCTAATATCTAGAAAACCATGTCAGTTTAGTTAACAATATTTTTCATCCAAAATGACAGAAGTTCAGGAGCATGTTTACCACTGCAGACTCTGTGGGAATGAAGCTGTTTTGAGCAGTCCAGGGGCCTAAAAAAAGAGATACTTTGTAGGCACAAATCTAATGAAAGTGCTTTAAGGTTGCTTACTACAACATTAGGCGATTACAACATTACTACATTGCCCTGAACCCTGCATGAGACACTTACAGTCTTTGCCTGGCTCGGGTGTTTCAGCCAAAGCTCTGAAAAATAAAACAACGTATTTAAAAAAACTAAAAGATGAATGTAATGTAAACGTGTCTGATGTTTGGACCTACCCCTCGTTATCTGCCAGCTCAGCCACTCTCTGCAAAGAAGCACAAACATGAGCTTTGTTCATATTATAGATCCATAATTTAACTCCCAATCTATATGACCCCATAGTCTTAAACAGGACCTCATAACGTAAACAAATTACCTAAACACACAACCAGTTTACCAAATCCATCATAAGGTTAAGATCTGAACTCACTCTTGCTATCATGTCTAAATGTTCAGGAGAAGAGCTGAAGTTTCTGGCCAGGTCATCCATGCAGAGGTTTTCATGTTGACACGTGTGAACCCAGGACATGTACTCCTCTGAGTTGGGGACACGATCAAAGAAGACTCGGAATGCTTCCCAAATGGCTTCTTGGCAAACTGTAAATGGATAGGCTATTAGAGATGGCTATTTTACTACCACTGTGTTGTGTTTGTGTATGTCACGTTGAAGAGTTTATTCATAAAAGCTGCTTATACAAGTTACACATTGTAACATAGGTCAATAATTTGTAAATGTCACTTAAAGGTCCTATATTACGTAAAACTGACTCTGAACTTTGTTAGAACATTGTTGCTTCCTCAAAAACATACCCAAAGTTATGGTTTGTTTCACTGACACATATTTGAGTAAGCCTGGATTATTAGTCTATCTACATCTCCAAAACTCAAAACGATAATATAATAATATAATAAAATAATAATATAATATAATATAATAATATAATAATGGGCGACAGTAGCTCAGTTGGTAGAGCATTCGCCCACTGATCTAAAGGTTGGCGGTTCGAATCCAGCTCTCAACATAAACATCACAGGTTGAGCGGTCAGATCCACTGACCCACAGGTTAGTCAGCTCCCACAGATGAATGCTGTCGTTGTGTCCTTGGGCAAGACACTTAACCCACCTTGCCCACAGTGTCTGCGTACACTGGTGTGTGAATGGGTGAGTGGTTCCTTGTTGTAAAGCGCTTTGAGTGCCTTGAAGGTGGAAAAGCGCTATAGAAAAATGTGACCATTTACCATAATATAATAATATAATAATATAATATGGGCCCTTTTATATATGTGAGGTTTTTAGATTAAATTAAAACACACAATTGACCCACATCTGACCTCTTAGTTTGTAGTAAGCGCGATGGCTGCTGATGACCGCTTTGGCTGTTTCCTGTGGACACACTTTGACCCCTGTACTGAAAATAGCTGAGCGCTTGGTCCTGCTGCTGCTGCTGTAGGAGACAGAGTGGGGAGCCTCCAGGAAGTGTCTGTATCTCACATCTCTGAGTCCAGCCAGGCCCCTGTCTTTTCAGAAAAAAAAAAGAAGAGGAACTTAATAGAAAGTCCACAGCTACATTTTGCTAGATAAAATTAAAGTGCATACGGCAGGTTTGACTACTCAGTTCACGAAAACACAGTTAACACAATTATAATTAAGATTTTACAAAAAAATCTTGCATAGTTCTAGTTGTTTTAACTTCTGTGAATCTGTAACTTAGCAACCATAATGTTAACAAGGGCCAAATCTTGTCTAAATTAAAGCCATGATTAGACTAACAAAAATAAATGAAATAATATCATCATTTTATTAAATGAAAATTTTAAGTGCTAGAAAAACGTCTTACTTGTGCATAAACCATCTCTGCAGTTTAGAGGGAATTTTACATGTTGATGATGACAGAGGTAGAAATATTCCAGTTTAGAACTCCTTTATTCCTTTCTTTTCCATTTTTTTGGAGGCACTTGACAGATGTGAAACTATGATAAATATTTAATATAGTATTTTAGTATAATTTTAAAAAAAACATGTAAACCTGTCATATGCGCATTAAACTAACAAGCTGGCACAATACAATCTGTAAAAGCTACAAAATAATGGAAGATAAACAACATTAAGACTTTTCTTTCTTCACCTGGCCTCTTGTTGCAAAAAATAGAGGACTTGTGCAACCCCGGCGCCCCCTTGTGTCCCTGTCTGGTGTCAGTTCTTCTGTCCTGTCTTTGCATAGTTTTCTTTTTGTTACAATCTGACATGTTCTCAAAGATAGAACACTGCTCTATATTCTGTCCGTGAGGTTCCTGACCTGACGCTCTTGGATTAGAGTGACCCTTCTCCAGGTGTGAACGGTGAGGAATTACAGTGGAGCATAAAGGGATTACACTCAGGTAGGCCAATTGAACGAAGACAGGTTTCTGTGTTGATTTTACGTGTGCTACTTTAGATGTTAAAAAGAAGAGGTTACAGCTAAAGTCAAAAATGTAATATTATTGGAAATGATGAGATAAAAGTATTATAATAGTAGGGTGACCGAAATGTCCCTATTTACCCGGGACAGTCCCAGTTTTGAGCCCTGTGTCTCCTGTCCCAGTAGATTTATCCAAAACCATTGATTTTTCCCAGTTTTATACAAGAAATGTCCCACGTGTCCCCTTTTTTGACCAGTTAGATAATTGGTTTAGGTAAAATACAGAAAAGCTACTTAAAAATGACCAAAATACAACAAAAATCTGACTATACTGACTCACATCTTAATCATGAATGGTCTCTGCATAACAGTTTTCCTTAATTACACACTCATTTCACAGTTTTATTATTACCAGCCACCCCAAACCGAGGATGTCCCAGTTTTTAATTTTGAAAATCTGGTCAACCCAATAATAAACTTCTGCACTATATCAAACTAAATGCCAGCACAAGGGCTTCGTTGCAGCTCAGTGGTAAAAAAAAAATCTGAGAACTACTCAAGCCATGATTCAGTGTCATCACAATTTTGTAGACATGCACCATGCACCATGCATCAGCATTGATACTGCAAAATTTGCTGTGTCAGATATTGGCCTCCAAATATTGGTTAAGCTTATATCCTGGTTGGACATTTAAATAGATCCATCAAGACGATTTACTGATCATAGCCAGAAAGTCTCATAATGTTTGAACTTTTATTTATACAAAGCTGTTTTGTGGTTACTTGAAATAACGGCTAAATCACACATCCAGATCAGTTTTGTGTTATTTTACTTTAGTTTAAAGGGAATTAATGTTGTTTTCAGTCTCTGCACTGGTATCAGATGATATCGGGTATGTACAGATACTTAAAGCTATTGTATCAAAACTGATATGGTATCAGAACTGAAAAAGCTGGATTGGTGCATCCCTACAAGTCAGACAGAGCATATTTAAATGAACAAATTCTAAATACTAAAATGCATTACAGTTCTCAGACAGATATGGATATGAAATGCAGCCAAATAGACCTTGTGAAGGCCTCCTACAAGCCACAAGAGATTAGTGTCCTGCAATATTAAGAACAGAATGGCTTTTGTTTCCTGTTGGATAATGAGCTCACACAAACCCCCCACTTGCCCTCACTCCCCCTTCCTCCCAGACACAAACACAGCTGACCAAAACATGCAATCTATGTCAACGCTGTACTCGCAAATATGTTTTTACGCCATGTAAATAATGTATTCAGAAGAGCAACGATCCTCTGAATTCATAAGTTGTTAAAGTAATAGTCAAAGCACATAATAATAAGAACAGTAGAAATGTTTAAATATTTTCAGTGCTAGTTACTTACCTGTATCTTGGCTTGCTTGGAGACTGGACAGAAATAGGAGTAACGGTATTCCAATCTTCACAATCATGATGAGTTATTTTATCTCCAGTCCTTCTGCAGAACTAGCACGGTTGTCCTTGCAAGCGCAGCTACGGTCTTGTTGCTCTTGTTGGCATGCATCAGGTACCAAGCACCGGTCAGCAGCACCCGTTCCTGGTGCCACCCTTGCCACAATTGAGATGTTTCCTCATAACAGCATGGGCCAAGAGGAGCAGCGATATCTCAGTGCCAGCGCATGAAGAAGAAGCCAAGGTTAAAAGCCAGTTTGGTTTCAAGTTTAATCTCTTTACCTTGCTCATGGTGCTTGTAATCCACAGGGAGGCCACGTGGCTGCTCTCATCCTGTTATCGGCCTTCTGGGCAGATCAACAAACTTGGGGAGTGTCCAGCCATTTGGGGCTTACAATATAGCCCCCCCACTGTTTCTGTCCCAGGACCTCTGCTCCAGTCCTGGACACAGTTCTGTAATACAGGCCCGGGTGCAGAGTAAATTGACTGAGAGAGCACCAAAAGGGTGCAAATACTTTTCAGTGTCATAATTTTATACACCTTAAATGAGGGTGCAAACTCTTTTAAATGAGGTTGCAATGCACACTTTTGCAAACCAGTTGACCAGGGCCTGCTGTGATTTGTATTTTTATTGCTCAGTGTCCACTAAATGATGTAAAAATAAAGACAAAACTTCATTTAGTGTTGTCCGTAAAGTGTAAAATATATAACAAAAAAATCCTCAGGATTAGGTTTGTAAGTTCTAAATGGGAAGTGTGTCTGTCTCTTCTCCAACTTCTCGTGTGAAGGAGATTAACTGGAAAAAAAAAAGCCTCAGTCAAAGCTGCACATGACTAACCTGTACTGCTGTATTGAAAATATATTTGCTCTCTCTGTTACCTGTATCTGAGTACACCTGGTAGCAAGAGAACGTTTTGGGTGTGAATCTCCTCATCTGATTTGCCAAACTATTTGGTCCTTCAAAATGCATCATCTAATAGCAGCAAGGGGCAAAATCAAACACACAAGGAAAAAGATGAACTGATTAGGAGAGAGAGGAGGGTACAGTTTTCTCTGTGGAGCTGAGCCTGGGTCGTTTTTGTTCAGCATGATTGAATATTCTTGGAAATTTATAATTGTGGCAACATGCAATATTAGTTCTTTCTTATCTCAGCTGTATGTTCATAATACTTTCTCTTACCACAATCTGAAAACGTGATTATATGTGTAAAATATTGTGGTATGAGTTGCCAAAAACATGGTTAGTTTTATACTTGGGTCATATAACAGGGCAAGGCATATCAAAAAAAAGTCACTGATAAAAATCTTGGCAGCTTCAGAAAAAGCCATCACAGATAAAGGTGAATGGAAAATCCACCAACAATTTACAACTGGAGGGACATTGTTGAAGAATTTCACATCATGGAGAGACTTAAATGTAAAGTTACAACAAGGAAAATCCAAATACCAAAATGCAAATAGCTGTTTATCTGAACAACTGACCATTTGTCCTGTATATTTCACTGTTTGTTTTGTTGTTTGATTATAGTCGAATACAAGGATTAAAAAAGAATATGTGATAATCAACCATCACCTTCTGAAAACCCAGCAGAGACTTCACTGAAGCTACCATCAGTCTCAATCCTCTTGTTTTACAGAGCAATGGTCAGCTCCATGACCCTGGAGCGGAGGAGCAGTGTCTAATATTAGAGTGGTGCTGAAAATCCCCTCTGGGCTGATTATGACAGAGAGTCACTGGACATAACCTGCAGCAGCAAAAGTCCCATGCTGCTCACTGTGAGGGTGTGGCCAGGCTGTGGCTCTTCAACTATCACTATCCTTAATATTAATGGAGGGTTATTAGCAGCCCTCACTTTAAAAATTATTGGCAGCTGTTGGTGAGGTAAAGCAACTTCTACATAAAAAAATCCAGAGTAAATAATGAATAATAATGGCTCTAAAATGTATTAATAATGACTCTAAACTTGCATGTTAGTTGGTTAGAATTTGAATTACTTAATATCCAAACTCTCCCCATTTTTCTTAAAGGTTTCAGGGCACATTTGGAATCTGTTAACAACCATTTTTATAACAAAATTCTAAGATATTAGCTTCATAAGATGTGATGCCATATCTATTATTCAAAAACAAAACTATAAATCAAAATGTCTACCTTCAAATTAAAGGGAAATTAGGATTCTGGAGGCGTGATCCCTAAAACCTTCAGTGACAGCAGATCTGAGTACTAGGATGTGGACTGGGGGCCTGCAACACAGTTTTATAAATGAAGAGCAACAATGTTATGTGATTGAAGAATGCATCAAAAAATAATATAAAAACAGAACATATGACATTTTCATTACTGACTTTAATTTAAAGACAAAATATACAAATTAGTTCATATTGGTCCAGTCTGATATTGGCTGGTACTATATAAAGGAACTATAATCCTATGATATGAAATAGAAAGTGCTTTGAGCGACGCTAGTGCCAGTTTCTGGTTAACAGCAGTATTTTACATCCACGGTGCTACATTGGGGGTCTCTTTCTGCATCTGCAAAGAAAAGAAAAGCACTGTTACATAGTAGTTATAGTAGTGGTATATAATAGTAATTTTTAGAAGAACTCAGAATACTTTTAGGTCCTAATGTCATATGTCATGTGTAGTGCATCGCAAGATTGTGTGTTAAATAATCCTGATTGATGCCTTACCTTACACAGCTCTGGAAAAACCTCTTGTATTGTGAGATCCAAAAGCACATATGTTAGCTAGGAGCAAAGGAGCACATGCTTTATTGGAATCACCCATTTAAAAGCATGTAACATCTGTAGCTCCATTAATTGATTACAAGTCATACCTGTTTATTGAGAACCGGCTGCTGAAGGCCATCAAAAAGAAGACAGACCCCTTCATATTTTGCCTCTTCTCCAATGCATTTGCCAATAATGTCTAGAGAGAATATTCATTTGGGACCATAAACTTAAGAACTACTTTTTTGCACTAATCATGAGTGGAAACTACAATTACCTGGAATATAACTTAGCATTTCCTCAAAGGCTTTTTTGGCCCTCTTGTGTTTCTCCTGAGCCGAGCGAGACTGGCTGGTCTCACAGAAAACAGCATCTGATGAAGAAGAGGGACTCATGTTAATAAGTTACCAGAGTAAACATAGATAAGACAATTCACTTTAAGGAGGAGTTAGTCTGAGTCTGGTTGATGTAGTGTACCTCGGAGCAGGGTGATGAGAGACACAATGCGATGTTCCTCCAGCACCTGACTCAGTTTGGACTGCAGATAGTGATGGGAATAAGCCTCCAAAGTATTCTTGAACAGGATTCGACCCCCCATTAACAAGTGGTGCAGCCAGTCAGGAATGTGAAAGACAACACGGCCTAAAGGACATTTGCACATGTCTCATTCATATTGCCTGCACCTCTGAAGGTGAAGAGATCACTTTATTGGGTGCTAAATTATGCTAAATCGTCACCAGTAGAGGGCAAAATTCCCATAGATACGACACAGGTTGTTCAGTAGATGTACTGAGCTCACTTACCTATGTACATCAAATAGTCATACAATCCATCCACAGTTATCATTTGCATGAAGTAATTTTGGTTATGTCTCTTCTCCAAGGTCTCTGAGCGGTTGGCATTGTTCTTGTAGAGGTCATTGAAAAGCTAAGAACAGAATATGGACGTGGTGTTATCATTGAAGCCTAAGAAAGTAAAAATTATGTATGTGGTATATGTAACTTTCTTAAAACTTTTATAAACACAACCTGTGTCCCAAAATTCTTATGAAGTAAACCTCTGCAAATCAAACATTAATTTTACTAATAACAATTATCATTCATAATAGTTATCCTTTACATAGTTATCCCATTTTAATTGTATAGAACCTTCATACATCCTTTTTTTTTTTTTTAAATACAAAAACATGCTGTACCTTTTTATCGTTTTCAGAGGAAGGGCTTAGAATAGTGAGCTCCGGGTGGCTTGGTTTAGGTTTGGGGGATTCACATGAGTTGAAGAAAGACTGAATGAAAGGCTCCAGGTGCTGTCCTTTCTATTAAAAAAAAGAATGCATGCTATTAATTGCAAATACCTGAAGAATTTTTGTGTTCTCTGATCATTATTGTCTTATTCTTACCTCTTTTATCAATTTACTGGGAACAGCCTTTATGATTTTCCCTGTGAATACAAACTCCAAATGTCAAGATTTGGCTGCACGGTAACCAATTACATTAATTAATATCTTTTATTATTTTACCAAGGTTAACATCAGGCAGCATCTTGTCCAGAAACTGTGACTCCATGCCATGAGGAGAAAGGAAATCGGCCAAAAGCTGACTGTTACTGAGCTCTGGGTGTTGCAAAAGATTCTACAAAGGTAAACAAATATGAAAAGCTTGTGTTATTTTCCTCTCTCTAGTTTGAGTCAAATCCCTGTTACTGACCCAGTAAAAGTGAAAAAAAAGACCATTCATTTTATGGAATCAGGATAGGATGAACCAATAAGCATGGTGAAAGACCATGTACCTGAAGGTACTCCTCAAATTCCACACGTTTAGAAGCAAGAAACTCATAATTCTTAGGGCCAATGATCCTCTTGGATGGCAACTGTGCATCTGGGAAAGAGCCTACACGGATAAGGAGAACAGTTATCACTTACAAAAGCAGTGCTATCAGGTAGATTATTTAAAAACCTACCATGAAACTCAGTAAGTTTTGATTCAAGAACGTAGAACTCGAGGTATCGTCTGTAAACTGACCAGTGCTCTATCTCCTGACCCACTAAAAAGAGAAGAATAATGTAGTAGTAGTAGGTCAATAAAGATTGGGCAGAGGGAGGGTCCAGGCCTACCAGTCTTCCGGTCATTGCGCTCCACATCAATACAGAATACAGGTATCCTCTCCCGCTTAGTGTCATCGTCATAAAAATCAATATAAGGAATGCTGATGCTCCATGCTGACAGGTTCCGTGGAGGAGTGCAGGGAGTCGAAGCAGCTTCTAAAGGAGAGTCATCCTCCAGGACCATCAAGGCCTCCTCCACCTGTGTGTGAAGGAAAGTCTCATAGTAACACAAAGGAGAGGGAATTTCAACACCAGTGCTTTACATGATTTAACCGATGCATCCAGTCCCATCTGTCATTTACTTCTGCCAATATATTGTCTGAGTGGATGAGAAAATACTTCAATCTGAGACTTGATCTGAATAAACTGTATTTGGCATTTAAAACACTTGTTTCACATTAGATGACCAATGAAGATATAACCTCCTCTTATAAAATGGCCATGTGGTGCATCCCCTCCCTCCACAGACAGCAATGAGAACAGCTATGAACCGAACAACCTCTACACATGCTGCACTGCCACGCCCCCTGCTGATCAAAGTCTGCAGTGCATCTCCACTTGAAGGCAAATGCTATGTTTCAAAATTGTGTTTTTGATATTATGCATCTATTTCCTATATATCTATTTAATGTTTCCTAGTACTTTCTAAAAGCCAAGAAAAAACTGAAAGAGAAACAGAAGTAGACTTTTAATTATTTGCCAGAGGAAACATTCGTTACCAGATCATCCTCTCCTTCCACCAGCCCATAGGACGGCAGCATGGCCCCCTCCATAGTGGTGCTCTTAAATACTCCTTTGATTTTACTGCCGATGCGGCTGATTCCAAAGGACTCTCCTCGTCTCGATGTGCTCCTGCAGACACACTTCATTACTGAGTGACTGTGTTAAACTGAATGGTGATGGTCACAGTCCATAGGCACAGAATGGCAGTCAAGTTTCTGACATTCTGCCCCAAGGTATCTGTGGCTACAGAAGGAGCATACCACCAACATCCTGATTGCCACTGGGAATTTATACACTTGTGAACAGCAGATGCAGCTTAAGAAAAAGACTCAAGGAACAATAATATCTGATATCTTGAATGGTTTTCTTAATACAGCAAAAATCTCTTATCCAACTGGTTTCATTGTGTAGTGCAAATTGTATCAAAAAAGGATCAAATTTGCATCATAAACAAGAACACACAACAAAAGGTCTTTAGAGGTGCATTATGAAACTTTTTTAGAGGGTCTGCAACCTGCTCATCTCCACGGAGATCAATACGTTAAATGCCACACTGTGAAATATCTAGATAAGGCAATAACATTTCCATTGAAGCAAAGAGGTGGTATACCCTCCACCAGAAAAGTGACATAGTACACCTTTAACACAAACCAAATAGACTGAGAGTATGCATGTTTATCAAACAGAGGTCTGGGTCTCATGCACTTGTCACATGCAGGTGGGAGGTTGGCTGATGTAAGGACTTCACACTGGGCGACATTGGACCATTGACCCTAACTTACTTGGGCGATGAGTGACGGTGTGGGGGAGTGGTGAACGGGGCATGGATGGAGTTAGAGGATGCAGGTGAAGAGCTGGCAGAGGCCGTGGATAAAGAAGGGAGGGACTCAGGGCTCCAGTCCCAGTAGCTATGAGCAGAGCAGGGTCGGGTCCCCACAGAGTTCAGGGAGGGCCCGGAGGCAGAGCAGGAAAGGCGGAATGGAGGTTACACAGATTAGACAAACAGCCGTGGGCACAGTTAGCCTACATGTACG